CAACGCTCTATCCACTGAGCCAAACCGGTTTCGGCTCTGACACTTCTTGATGTGATTTTTTTAACCAAATGAGTTCAACATTTTATATGTGTGTATGACTTCCAAACATATCCAATTCCAACCAAAACAAACTTTCCTTTCTCATTTGTGGGATCATCACTTGATTTCTTTTTCCTGTAAGTCACTGGCCTCTGATGATATATTATTATACAGTGTCTCTATGCTGTATCTCATCCTTAGCAAGCTTCTCTGCTTTGTTCCGTTTAAACCAATCCTTTACAGTTTGGGCAGTTGAGTGACAGAATGAATAACTGCCCAGACAAGTATTTCTAAAGTGTCTGCTCTTCCATTCATGCCCTTTTCACCCTTCGGTAGCATCCCGTCTGTTTTTAAACATTTTGCCCTGGAGGCACCCAGGATAGTTCAGTAAATAAATAGACTTTCTTTCTCTGCAAAAATTAGTGGTGCGGCCAGGCCGTGTATCCCAATAGTTGAGCATTGACCTACGAACCAGGAAGTCACAGTTCAATTACCAGTCAGGGCACATGTCCGTATTGTGAGCTCGATTCCCCAGTAGGGGGCGTGCAGGAGGCATTTGATCCATGATTCTCTCTCCTCATTGATGTTTCTCTCACTCTCTCTTCCGGTCTGAAATCAATAAAAATAGATTTAAAAAAAAAAAAATTAGTGGTGCAACTTGACTGTAGAAAGTTATGTGTGTCTTACAAGGCTAGTTACTAATGGACAGCCCTTTATTTCACAGTCACCGCGGAGGAGAAGCCTGAAGAGGAATTTTGTCCCGCAGATCAACCTGTCGCCTTTCTTCTTCCCAGTCATCCCCAAATGAGAGAGAGGCGAGAGCTGGCTGCCGCGGCTGAGCTGCACGGAGATGGTGAGGGCTGAACTGGGAGCCGAGCTTTATTTCAGGATGTGAAAGCCAGGGCCCAGCAGACACTCTCACCCTCCCTGTATCCTCAGACCAGCTGGCTCCTGGTGAAGCTTCCGGCCGTGGAGCTCAGGCAGCCTCAGCTCTGAAGGCCGAGCAGCTTCTCCCACCCATTGAAATGCAGTTAAGAAACTGCCAGTGTTTCTTGTGTTACCATAGGCAACATGACAAAGGAAACAAAAGAAAATCAATAGCATAAGTAAAATGATATGGCCCCCGTTATTAGCTCTTTCCACCTTTCCCCACTGTTCAGCTGAACTCATAGCCCGAATTATTACCCAGCAGTATGCGTTGAGACAAAAAAGATCAGAAATATAAACAATAAAATGGCAATAAGTACGTATCTATCAGCAATCAAATCTAAACAGCAACCTATATGAGCAAGGAATGGAATGAACAAAATAAACTGATGAATCACATGGAACCAGGGGCATGGAACCGTAATAGACTGAGGAATCTCAAGGAGGAGGGCGTAGGAGGAAGCTGGAAAGATTAACCAAAGAATTTACGTGCATCTCGGCATTGCCCGTGCACACAGACAATGGCGGGGAAGGCCTAGGGCAGGGTGCGGGTGGGATCCGGGTGGAGGAGGGCAGTGGGGGGGACATCTGTAATACTCTCAACTATAGAAATAAAAACTAAAAGAGATAGGTTACTTTTGTGTCATGCCGTGGCATACAAAAGAATTGTTATTAAAAGAAAAAATGTGCCAGTCAACCTCCTAGTTTTTTGTTTGTTTGTTTTTTGCAAGAGAACATTTATTGGGTAAATTACAGAGCTAGATTCCTAGAAGAAATGGACCTGGGAAACAGGGCATAGATGTAAAGAGAGGGCCCTTGGAGCATGGGAGAGAGAAAGCTATTGGAAAAGAGAGGGGATTGGGGAGGCTGGGGGGGGGGGGGAAGGGGGGAGACTGGCTCCTGGGAGGGAAAGGTACTGGGTCCTCCCTCCTAAGGGCTTTAAGGGAACCCAGAGGAAGGTCTCAATCGAACATTCTGCAGCTTTCCAGGTGTGTCCTTTCAGGGTTGTGGTCTCCACCAATTGATGGGGGGGGGGACTATCTTTGGGTTTTTTTGTGTGTGTTTGTTTGTTTTTTAATATATTTTATAGATTTTTTACAGAGAGGAAGAGAGAGGGATAGAAAGTTAGAAACATCGATGAGAGAGAATCATCTATCAGCTGCCTCTTGCACACCCCCTACTGGGGATGTGCCCTCAACCAAGGTACATGCCCTTGACCAGAATCGAACCCAGGACCTTTCAGTCCGCAGGCTGACGCTCTATCCACTGAGCCAAACTGGTTTCGGCCCATCTTTGTTTTTATTGTAAACTAAAACTGGTTCCTAAGTCAAATAAAATAAATGTACCTGGTTTGTCTTTTTCATTTTTTTTTTCACTTAAAAACCACCTTCCATTCTTATTATATAAGTTGTAATATTTTTAAAAATAGCTCTTCATTCTGTCCAAACTCCTCTATGTAATTTCCAGTCATTTAATTTGTTAAGGCTCATTTCAGCCAGTTTCCTCTTTTTCAGAGAGAAAAGGGCATGAGTTATATAATAGGAAGGGACCTGGGTTTCTTTCAAGCAAGTGTTGCCCTCTAGTGGATCAAAAGAGACAACACAGTTTTTGAATGACTGGCTGACATTCCTGGAATAATCTATTTGGGGAAAGCAGTGAGATTACTAATGCAGAAGAAAGCAAAGAGAGACACCATTTATTTTGCCAGATATCACAGATGTTTTTGATGAAATCTGATAATAATATTAGGATAACTGCCGAGACCGGTTTAGCTCAGTGGATAGAGCGTCGGCCTGCCGACTAAAAGGTCCCGGGTTCGATTTCAGTCAAGGGCATGTACCTTGGTTGCGGGCACATCCCCAGTAGGGGGTGTGCAAGAGGCAGCTGATAGATGATTCTCTCTCATCAATGTTTAACTCTCTATCCCTCTCTTTTCCTCTCTGTAAAAAATCAATAAAAAAATATTAGGATAACTGACTACCTAATAAATGTAAAACTTAAAAATGTATAAAACATAAGCACAAGTAAAAGTAAATAGACTAGAGAAAACACTTCTCACAAACAGGGCATAAAAATAGAGCAATGTGTACAAGAGATTTGAAAACTTACAAGGAAAAAAACACACCAAGAAACAAACAAAAAAAAATTATATATACAAGAGGAAACCTACAAAGCAGTACTCACAGTCGTTAGCAATCAGAGAAATGCAAATGGAAACAATACTGACCACTGTTACCTGTCAGAGTGACTGGGATGTGTAGGAAAAAACATAGTTTAGGAACTCTTCTCCACTCTGGTAGGAGTTTATACTGGAATTCCTATCTAAAGAGCAATTGGAAGGTTAGTCAAATTAGGTAGGACACAGGCATGGTTCAGTGGTTGATCTTTGAACTATGAACCAGAAGGTCATGGTTAGATTCCCAGGCAGGGTTCAGGGTTAAAGGCTCGATCCCCAGTAGGGGGCGTGCAGGAGGCAGCCAATCAGTGATTCTCTCTCATCATTGATATTTCTCTCTTTCTCTCCCTCTCCCTTCATCTCTGAAATCGACTTAAGAAATGTTTTGTGTTTGTTTTTTTAAAAATTAGGTATGACCCAGCAATTTCCCTCTGTGTGTGTGTGTGTGTGTGTGTGTGTGTGTGTGTGTGTGCGCGCTCCAAAAAATTCTCACAGGCTGGAATGGGGGGTGAGGAGGATGCTTATGGCAGCGCTGTGTACAGTGGCGCAACGAAGAGGAACCCAAGAGGCATCAGGAGGACCTCACTGGTTAAGCACCTGGGGGATACGTGGTGGGAGCACCCTTCGGGGAGTACTCTGCAGCAGTTAGAAGTAAAGTCCTGGGTACATAGTAGAGAACAACAGCGGTGGATTTTTTAAAAATATATTTTTATTGATGTCAGAGAGGAATGGAGAGAGTTAGAAACATCAGTGATGAGAGAGAATCGTTGATTGGCTGCCTCCTGCACGTCCCCTACTGGGGATCATTAAATGTAATATGCAATACCATTTGATTTTTGTAAATTTAAAATACATGCTTACAATAATATGCATTTTACAACAACTCACAAAGATGAAAGGATATTCCCTGAACACACTAGGAAGCTTGCTTACATACATGTGGGGGTGGGGGGAGGAGGCAGAAAAAGTGGGATTACGAATCAGGATAAAAGGGAGCAATGCTGATTATGTCCATGAGGAGTATCAATTACTCAACCCTCCACAGCTGAGGTCCAACATCAAAAAAGATAAAACAGAGGAAGGGAAACTTGTACAACTTAGGAGAAAAAAACGGGCAAAAGACATAAAGAGTGACTGTACTACATAAATGCAAATAAGGCAAAAACATACAAGAAATTGTTCACTTCTTCGTATCCAAAGCTCCATCCCCATTGTGGAGCGTGCAGGAGGCAGCTGATCAACAATTCTCTCTCATCATTGATGTTTCATGTTTCTCCCTTTCCCTTTCTTTCTGCAATCAATTATATATATATACAACATATAATTGATTATATATATATACACACACACACACACACACACACACACATATATATAATTTAAAGAAACAAAGCTATGTTTGTGGGGTTTCAGATCTATGTAGTCCAAGGTTGCAGCCTAGTTGAGAATGAAGAGGGCTTAGGGTCCTGGCTAGTAAGGAGAGAACCTTTGTCCCTCCTTAAATTGTTTGCCAAGCGCCACCTCTGTCCCTTCCTAAAATCTACCAAAACTCAAGCTGCACCTCCTGTTTCCCTGGAGCCCTTTTTTAGGCTTTAAAAACAACCAAGACACGCGAGGGCGCTTTGAACTTCAGCAGCTCCGAACTAGGCTGCAGTAGGGAGAGAACTACAACTCCCAGCAGCCCTCGCGCGCGAGGGGGGGGAAGTTCTCAACTCCCTAGCGTCATTCCCACGTTGGCCAATCAGCTCAACTCTTCCCGCCTTCTTCAACAAGCTTCACTTCCGGGATCTCGGGGCTGCTTACCACGGTCGCTTCCGGCGTCGCGGAAATGCGTGGCGTCACTTCCGCTAGGCGGGCCCCGGGCCTTCCCGCGCAAATTGAAAGGCGCCTCGGAGCAGCGGAGCGACGGCCGGGCGCGGTGCGTGTCGCGGCGCCCCCTCCAGTGCCGGGACCCACGGAGTCGGCGGCGCCGGGGCCGGGGCCGGGGTCCGGAGCCCCTTCACGGCCGCCCGAGAAGCGAGCGGAGCGGGCTCTGCAGAGGCGTTAGGTGGGTTCTGCGTGGTCCCCCGACCCTGCAGCCAGCCAGGCCCCGGGGAGCGCGGGGAGCGCCAGGGGGTCGCCGTCTGATGCGGTTCGTGGCCCCAGAGGATGCTGAGTCCCGGGGGGACGTGCTTGGCTGGGCGGGGGCTGCGGTTCGTGCACCGAACGAACCATCCCGGTGGCCTTCAAGCCGTTCCCTGCTGCCGGGCCCGGGCACCGGGGGTCGCACCCCAACCCCACAGTCTTTCTGCAAAAGCCCGCAGGCCCGTTTTCGCATGCGAGCTCCCAACTTTATTTTTTTCCCTTTATTGATAAGGCAATAAACACATTAATGTGACCAGGCCGTCCCGCTTTGGGCGGCACAGTCCCGATTTTCAACAATTTTTGTCCCGCGAGACGCGAAATTGTTAAAAGCGGGACTGTCCCGCCAGAAGCGGGACGGTCTGTGTCCTTTTAAAAAATATATATATATTTTATTGAATTTTCACAGAGAGGAAGGGAGACAGCTAGAGAGCTAGAAACATGGATGAGAGAGAAACATGGATCAGCTGCCTCCTGCACACCCCCTCCTGGGGATGTGCCCGCAACCAAGGTCCATGCCCTTGACCGGAATCGAACCTGGGACCCTTCAGTCTGCAGGCCGAGGCTCTATCCTATCCACTGAGCCAAACCGGCTTCGGCTACATGTGTCCTTATTCCAACATTGCCCCCCCTCCTCTCCCCTCTCCCCTGCACTCCCCCAATTTTGCCCTCCACCTCCCCCCCCTCCCCCCCAGGTGTCTGTGTCCATTGGCTAAATGTTGACAAGTACATTTTTCCTTTTCGCAGGCCAAGCAAATCCTGTCCTCTGGAATGGGCATGCGGGCCTCGCCCGGGCACCTCTGGGCGACCTAGGAGCCAAGAGGCGCTGGTGCTGCTGGTTCCCCGGGCGCCCCAGGGTGGGGGTCACTGTGAGCTGACTGGTGGCCTATGGCTCGCAGGCCCTCCCCACCTCGGGCTGCGGAGGAAACATGCATTCGAGGAGGGTATGGACTTAGTTTGGAAGAAACCACGGTTCACGAAATGTCTACAGTGCAAGGAGGAAGCTCTTGGTGAGGAAGAGGAAGATTCCTGGTGATTCTGGACCTGGGGCTTGAGTGCCACCAGCACCCACATGACCCGCCCTGATTGCAACTGAGCATCTGCGAGCGGCTGGAATTTGGGGACTGGCTGGACCAGAGCTTCCGTACAGGGTCTGCAGGGTAAGGCTGCCTTGGGATCCTGTGCCTGCTGCCCTCCCTTCCTTCCTCCCAAACGCAGTGTTTGCCAGGAGAGACTCATGTTCTGGAATGCCAAGCACCTGCTCAGCGCCCATGGCTGCCTCCAATCATCCTGGGGAGCCTGGAGGGCGGCTGCTTCTGGAAGGAACCGGGGCGGTTCCGCAGTTTCTGTATGGTTTCCACTCGAGTTGCAGCCTGGGTGGGAGGGTGGGAAGTTAAAGCGTTTGTCCTGATGCGTTTATTACGCTTTTTAGTTGAAATACCTACCTTCCTACAAGCCGTCTTGAGTTTCTGCTCTTCTGCTCATTTGCACGTTGCCTCTTAAGGTATAATGCCTGCGGAGAGGGAGTGTGATGCCGTAGCAAGAACAACGTTACAGGTTTTAGCCATGCCTTTTTTTTTTTTTTTTTTTTTCTTCTTTAAATGTTTGTATTGGTTTCAGAGGAAGGGAGAAGAGAGAGGGGAACATCAGTGATGAGAGAGAATCGTGAATCAGCTGCTTCAGCTGCTCCTCACCAAATGGGCAGATGGAGGTGGGCACTTAACTCTAATTCAGGACTCAAGGGCAGATCCTGGCGCTGTGGCTGCCTCCACTACTCTTATTGTTGTTGTTGTTGTTGTTGTTTTTAAATATATTTTTATTGATTTTAGAGAGGGGGAAAGAGAGCACGAAGCATCAGTGATGAGAAAGAGTCATTGATTGGCTGCCTCCTGCACACCCTCTCCCCTCACCCTTTCCCCACTAAGGATGGAGCCTGCAACCCAGACATGAGCCCTAACCAGGAATCGAACTGTGACCACCTGGTTCCTAGGTCCACGCTCAACCACTGAGCCACGCCGACCGGGCAGCAGCGCATTTTTAGAGAAGAGAGACTCCTGCCTCTTGAACATAACACCTCTGTGTCTGGTACTGTGTTAAGGGCTTGGAGCACACATCATGATTCCAATTGGGAAAGCCCTTTGGAAGGAAAATTCTACACTATGGCTGAAACCTGTTTGGCTCAGTGGATACAGCGTCGGCCTGCAGACTGGAGGGTCCTGGGTTCGATTCTGGTCAAGGGCATGTGCCTTGGTTGTGGGCACATCCCCAGTGGGGGGGGTGCAAGAGGCAGCTAGTCGATGATTCTCTCTCATCGATGTTTCTAGCTCTCAGTCCCTCTCTCCTCTCTGTAAAAAATCAATAAAATATATTTTTTATATATATATAATATATATATATATATATTTTTTTTTTTTAAGAAGAAAATTCTAGACTATGGAAGAAAATTGTTTGACAGGGAGGAACCTTGTTAAAATACTTGCAAAACAATGATTCTCAAATATCTGAATAGCAACGGGTCCTTATTCGCTTCTAGACCCCCTTTTTTTTTTCTCCTAGAACTTTCGGGTAACTGTCTATTTGCTTTTAAACATTGCTGTATTCCCCTTCTCCCTTCCTATACCGCAGGTAGCCTGGCAGGATGGGGATTCAAGGATTGCTGCAGTTTATCAAAGACGCCTCTGAGCCGGTCCACGTGAGGAAGTACAAGGGGCAGGCGGTGGCCGTGGATACGTACTGCTGGCTTCACAAAGGCGCCATTGCCTGTGCCGAAAAGCTAGCCAAAGGGGAGCCGACAGATAAGTAAGTCTGGACCTCGTGTTAGCTCGTTGTCAAATCAAGAGTGAGACGTATAATGCCTTATTTTCCATTTTGAGTTAAAAGGACTCCCCCCCCCCCCCTTTTAATGAGATGATGGGAGATGTCAATTAATGTTCATTTCCTATGAAAACATTTTCTTTAAAAAAAGAAAAGAAAGAAAATGCCTTATTTTTCATGCAGCGCCAGGTTTATCCAGAAGTGGGTTTTATTTTTATTTATAATATATTTTATTGTTTTTTTTCATAGGAAGGGAGAGGGATAGAGAGCTAGAAACATAGATGAGAGAGAAACATCGACCAGCTACCTCCTGCACACCCCCCACCGGGGATGTGCCCACAACCAAGGTACATGCCCTTGACTGGAATCGAACCCGGGACCTTTCAGTCCGCAGGCCGATGCTCTATCCACTGAGCCAAACCGGTTTTGGCCAGAAGTGTGCTTTAGAACATTGCCAAATCGGGAATGACTTCCTTCTGTGTCGGAGACCTCGTTTATTTGGATTAAGCCAGATCATCAGCACACTGATGGGCAAAACCCCCAAAATCGTCTCCTCTTACCTTCTGTCTGAGATAAACAGTGTCCTGAAAAGCCCAGAACTAGTGGCCAGGTTGATGTCAATTATAAACTCTGCGACCTCATTGTGGGCAGGACTGCTGTCCTCTTTATTTTTTAAACAAGACACATTAGAAAAACAAGCACAATTGCTGGACGGGTTTTCCACAGGGGTTTGGGCACTCATTATTTGTTTTCTTTTTTGCAATATATAACTTCTAGAGGAAAGGCTCACGGATCTTACTAGTACTTAAGCACAACAGACAACAGGTGAAATGTGTGAATCCTGTTGGTTTCTTGGAAGGAAGAGGGGAGTCATGATCACCTGGTGAATGTTTGGGGCTCTTAGGACCCCATACAAGCAGCTTGTGACAGTGTGTGAGGGAGCTGAAGGAGCCTGGCACATCTGCCACTCCCACGCTGTGATCATGGTTTTTGTTTTGTTTTTAAATATATTTTTATTTATGTTTTACAGAGAGGAAGAGAGAGGAATAGAGAGTTAGAAACATTGATGAAAATCATCGATCAGCTGCCTCTTGCACACCCCCCACTGGGGATGTGCCCTCAACCAAGGTACATGCCCTTGACTGGAATCGAACCTGGGACCTTTCAGTCCGCAGGCTGACGCTCTATCCGCTGAGCCAAACCGGTTTCGGCTGTGATCATGTTTTAAAGCGGTTTCTTTCCCACCCTTACATTTAAGCAGTTGCAACTGGACTTGAAGAACACAGGTTTTTCATTGCTTCTTACCCACGAAGATTCGAAGGTTCATTGCCAGTAGTTTCCAGTTAAAAGGAAAAAGGACAACGTAATGAGCCTTTCCTTCAGATGAATATAGTTTATCTAAATGATTGCTTTTTAAGATTATACCTTTATTTATATTTTGAGATAAGAGATCCCCTTATTTTAATGAAATGATGGGAGATGTAAAGAGTAATGTTCATTTCCTATAAAATCATTTTCTTTAAAAAAAAAATACAAATCTCTTTTGTAATTCATTTTATCAGGTTTTAAAAAGTATTACAAGATGCAAAACACTAACGTGCCTCTTGCTTTCGTAGGTACGTAGGCTTTTGCATGAAATTTGTAAACATGTTGCTGTCTCATGGGATCAAGCCTATTCTTGTGTTTGATGGGTGTACTCTGCCTTCTAAAAAGGAAGTGGAGAAGGCCAGACGAGAGTAAGTGAAGCCTCTGTTTCCTCTCTGACTTGATTGCATTGAGGTCTGATGCTGTGGTTTGTAGAATACTAGTTGTTTGGTTTTTTAATTGATTTCAGAGAAGGAGGGAGAGAGATAGAAATAGCAATTAATATTTTTAATTGATTTCAGAGAGGGAGGGAGAGAGAGAGAAACATCAGTGATGAGAGAGACTCATCCATCCCTCCTGTACACCCCTCATTGGGGATCTGCAACCTGGGCCTGTGCCCTGACTGGGAATCAAACTGTGACCTCCTGGTTCCTGGATCAGCGCTCAACCCCTGAGCCACTTTGGCTGGGCTAACAACGCTAGTTTGGTGGTTGTTTTTTGTGTGTTTTTTCTCAGCAGCAGAGAGCTTATTTGTTTTCAGGTGCTGACAATAAATAGCCCTTCTGCTTCCCACCTGATGCAAGCCCGACGCAGGGCCCCCGGAGAGAGGCGGCCTGTGCTGCCTGGGCCGGAGATGGGGCTCCCCCAGGGGTGAGCGTGTCGGCCAGGCCCGCTTGGCCTCTGCTCCTCGTGGGGAGCTGGGTCTCCATCCCAGGGAAGGCTTTGGGGTTCTGGTCCGCCAGGAGCACCTGCAGAGCCCACTGCCCGTCCGCCCGCACGCGGTTGTGGCTGCAGCTCAGATGCGGGGGCTGGTAAGGGGCCTCGGAGGTGCCCCGGCCGCCCAGGGCGGACTTAGGTTGCCTGGTGCCTCGTGGGAGCCCTCCTCCCATGGCCCTTCCAGAATCCGCTTCGGCCTTTCCAGATGGGATCCAGGTAGTACCTGTGCTGCTGCCTCCAGGAGCCCGGCCAGGCCCAGGGGGTGTCAGCCTGGCCCCTAAGAACGCAGATTAGCCTTTGAGTGTCCAGGGAATGGGAAGGCCTAGCCCCCCCAGCTCCCTGGGAATCTCGCCCTGGGGCGGTGGGAGGAGGCACCCCAGTCTTGTCGGCTTCCTCACTCCCAGGTGACCGTGGGCGGGTCACTTCACCTCTAGACTCGGTTTCCATGGAGACAGGGCAGCGAGGCCGCCCCAGCTATGCCCCGAGGCAGCATCATCCCCCCCCTGGACCCAATACTAGTTTTTTGTTAAATATTGTACGTAATTTATTGAGGCTCTTTTATAGCCCAGTACATGAACAAATGTCCTGAAGTTTCTGTGTGCTAGAAAGGAATGTGCATTCTCTAGTTATTGAGTGGGAAGCTTTTCTGTCGAGTAAATCAGGCTTATTGATTGTAGGATTCATGTCTTCCATATCATTACTGGTTCTTTTGTGTGTGTGTGTTTTTTTTTTATGTGTGTCTTCTTAATCCAGCAGTTACTGAAAAAGAATGTTGAAATTTCACCGTGATAGTGAGTTTCTTAATTATTAGTTGTGTCTATTTTTAAAAATTGGATTTATTGGGGTGGCATTGGTTAATACAATTATTTGGGTTTCAGGGGTACAGTTCTATAATACATCATCTGTATGCTGTGTTGTGTATTCACCACCCTAAGTCAAGCCTCCTTCTATTTATCCATTTAAAAAATTTTGTTTTACTAATTTTGAGAGAGAGAGAGAGAGAAACATTGATGTGAGAGCAAAGCATCAATAGGCTGCCTCCTGCACACCCTCTACTGGGGATCAAGCCCACAACCCTGAGCATGTATGTGTATATTTACTTGATGGAAAAAACCTCATTAGTTCAGACTGATACTTGCAATTCAAATTCAGGGCACAGGTTTTTACTTCTGTACTTCATCAGTATCTTTTTCCTTCCAGTCTGAGAATCCTTGTTTTAAGGGCACAGGGGATGATAAAGTTAGAGCATCTGATAATTACAGTTGTCCCCCCTTATTCAGTGGGCATACATGCCAAGACCCCCAGTGGGTGCCTGAAACCCTATTTGTTATACCAAGCCCTGTTACACATACTGTGTTATCCTATACATACAGACATCTGGCAAAGTTTAATTTGTAAGTTAGGCGCAGGAAGTGATTAACAACAATAACTTAATAAAATACAACAAGCGTAATAACCTATAATAAAAGTTATGTAAATGTGATCTGTCTCTACTCCCTCAAAATATATTCTACTCACCCCTTTTTTTTTTTTAAATATATATTGATTTCAGAGATGAGGGAGAGGGAGGAAAGGAGGGAGGGAGGGAGGGAGGGAGGGAGGGAGAGAGAGAGAGAGAGAGAGAGAGAGAGAGAGAGAGAGAGGGAGGGAGGGAGGGAGAGAGGGAGGGAGGGAGAGAGGGAGAGAGAGAGAGAGAGAGAGAAACATCAATGTTGAGAGAGAAAATCATGGATCAGCTGCCTCCTGCAGGCCCCCCACTTAGTTGGGGACTAAGCCAGCAACCCAGGCATGAGCCCTGACTGGGAATGGAAGCCGGGACCCCTTAGGCCACAGGCCCACCCTTCTTGTGATGATGTAGGATCAGTGTTTCCCAAAGTGCGGTACGCGTACCCCCAGGGGTACGGGAAGAGTCTGGTGGGGGTATGCACTGCACCGTGCTTAGCGGCGCCTAATTCTACGTTCTCATGAGGACGAGGAGTACTCAGCGTTACGAAAATTATAGAAGGGGCACACACATGTCAAAAGTTTGGGAAATACTGTACTAAGGCGAACCGGTTAGGCGCAGGGGTCCTTAAACTTTTTAAAGTGGGGGCCAGATCACGGTCCCTCAGAGAGCTGAAGGGCCGGACTATATGAACTACTAATTCCTACTGTAACACTTAGGCTGCGCTCACTGCCCAAAAAACCTGGCGGGCCGGATCAGACTCCTCTGCGGGCCGCATGTGGCCCGAGGGCCGTAGTTTGAAGACGCCTGAAGGGCAAATCCTTCCGTAGTTTTGATTCTACAATTTACTATGTGGTTATCACTAGTCCTTATGTCAGTGTCTCCATGTTATTTTGTTTGTTTTTTTTCCCTGAAATTTGTTCTCTAATCGGTTTCACAAAAACAGCGTTCCTTCAAGTTCCTTGTATGTTGATATAAAGTTCCGTCCTTTATATTTGGGAGGTTTTGATGGTGTAAAGGCCTTCATTCCCATTTTCTTAAGTGTCTTAGTTCATTTTCTTCTGACAGCTTTGCTGTGCTGAGCCCACTGAGCTGCCCTGTGAGTGTGCATAGAGAGCACTTGTGCTTTGGCTTAGAAGCCCAGGGCCTGTGGGTGAATATTCTCAAGGGCCAGGTGTGCGCTTTCAAATGAGCCAAACTTTTTTTTATTCTAGGGAATTTTCTTGCGTTCGAGTTTTCACAGTTTCTTGATCAGCTCTGAATTTTCTTGTTCCTCGCAGACGACGACAAGCCAACCTCCTTAAGGGAAAGCAGCTTCTTCGAGAGGGAAAGGTCTCGGAGGCCAGAGACTGTTTCACCCGCTGCGTCAACATCACACACGCGATGGCCCACAAAGTCATTAAAGTAAGACAAACACGAAGTAATCCGAGAGGAATCGAGAGGGCTGGAGAGTTAGAAACATTGATGAGAGAGAAACATCCATCAGCTGCCTCCTGCACACCCCCCACTGGGGATGTGCCTGCAACCAAGGTACATGCCCTTGACCGGAATCGAACCCAGTCCGCAGGCCGACGCTCTATCCACTGAGCCAAACCAGTCAGGGCCATAGTCATTCTTTTTAAAGAAATATTTTTATTGATTTCAGAGTGGAAGAAAGAGGGAGAGGGAAACATCAACGGTGAGAGAGAATCATGGATCTGCTGCCTCCTGCACGCCCCCTACTGGGGGTTGAGCCCAAAACCCGGGCACATGCCCTTGACTGGAATTGAATCTGGGACCCTTCAGTTTGCAAGCTGACGCTCTATCCACTGAGCTAAACTGGCTAGGGCAAGAACAGGGTTTTTGAAAATAGTCCTAGCACATGTGCATGTTGAAGCTGGTGATGAATGGATTTGGAACGGGGAGTTTATTAGGTCTTTCCAGACGCCGTTCTCATGTCAACTGCTCCTCTCCCCCAGGCGGCTCGGGCCCAGGGAGTGGACTGCCTCGTGGCGCCGTACGAAGCAGACGCGCAGCTGGCCTATCTGAACAAAGCCGGCATCGTGCAGGCCATCGTCACCGAGGACTCGGACCTCCTGGCTTTCGGCTGTAAAAAGGTATGGAAACAGTCTAAACGCACTGCGGCATTTCCCAAAGTGCGGTACACATATGTCAAAACAGCGGTCTAAAGCAAAGAATTACAGTTAATTTGCATATTTTTTGGAATGTTTTCATTTTTTTATTTTTTATTTATTTTTTAAAATATATTTTATTGATTTTTTACAGAGAGGAAGGAAGAGAGATAGAGAGCTAGAAACGTCGATGAGAGAGAAACATCGACCAACTGCCTCTTGCACACCCCCTACTGGGGATGTGCCCGCAACCCATGTACATGCCTTTGACCGGAATCGAACCTGGGACCTTTCAGTCCGGCTTCGGCTGGAATGTTTTTAATTGTAGTTTATTTCTAATATTATGCCCTTGTGGTCTGAGAAAATACTTGATAGGTTTTTCAATGTTTTTGAATTTGGGGAGACTTTGCTTTTGACCTAATATGTGGTCTGTTTTTGAAAATGTCTCGTGTGCACCTGAGAAGAACGTAAATGACATCTGATTTAGTGTGTCATTTAGAATTGCTGTTTCTTTGCTTTTTTTTTTTTTTGTCTAGACCAGTGTTTCCCAAACTTCTCTCATGATGAGAATCACCTGGTGGAGATGTTAAAATACAGATTCCTGAATCCCAACTAAGAAGTGCTAAACTAGAATTTTTGGGGACATACAGTTTTACCTATATAAAAGGGGGGGATAGTAGAAGAATATCATGTAAGGAAAAATATCCTGTAAGTAAATTAGATCTAGAAAATTTTTACTTTAGAAAATTAACTTTCATTTGTAATGCTAACAGCAAGACATCCATGAAAAACACACATGGTATTAAAACAAGCCAAAGGAAAATGGTTAGGGCAAAAAATAAGAAAGGTTCCCAAGTCAACTCCACCAGGTGATTCTCATCATGAGAGAAGTTTGAGACACTGGTCTAGACTCTAGGATTTATCCATTGATGTCAGTGGTGTATTAAAGTCTCCTACTATGATGGGTATTTTTGTCAATCTCTCCTTTGATATCTTTCAGGAGATTTTTAAAATATATATTTTATTGATTTTTGGGGATGTGCCCACAACCAAGGTACATGCCCTTGACCGGAATCAAACCTGGGACCCTTCAGTCCGCAAGCTGATGCTCTATCCACTGAGATAAACCGGTTTCAGCTCCAGGAGATTTTTTATGTATTTGGGTGCTCCTGCATTGGGTGCATATATGTTTACCAGAGTTATAACTTCTTGTTGAATTGTTCCCTTTACTATTATGTAGTGGCCTTCCTTATCTCTTATTAGGGCCTTTAATTTGAGGTCTATTTTATCAGATATAAGTATCACAACCTCAGCTTTTTTCTTATTTCCATTTGCCTGAAAAATGTTTTTCCATTCCTTTGCTGTCAGTCTGTGTGAATCCTTTGCTCTGAGGTGGGTCTCTTGTAGACAGCAAATATGTGGATCATGTTTTCTTATCCATTCAGCTACCCTATGTCTTTTGATTGGTGCATTTAATCCATTTATGTTTAATGTTATTATTGACAAGTACATGTTTGTTGTCATATTTTTCCTTAGTGTTTATGTTTCTTCTTGCCTTTCTCTTTCTTCTTTTTACAGCAGTCCCTTTAGCATTTCTTACATTGCTGGCTTGGTAGGGATAAACTCTCTTAGGCCTTTTTTGTCTGTGAAGCTCCTGATTCCACCTTCAATTTTTAATCATAGCCTTGCTGGGTATAATATTCTTGGATTCAGTCCCTTGCTTTGCATCACTTTGTATATTTCATTACATTCCCTTCTGGCCTCGTGTGTTTTTGTTGAGAAATCAGTTGATATTCTAATAGGAGATCCCTGATAAGCTGCTAGCCTCAAATTCACTTTATATATATATATACATATACATATGTATACATGTATATATATATGTATATATATATATACACACACATATATATATTTTTTTTAATTGATTTTTTACAGAGAGGAAGGGAGAGAGATAGAGAGCTAGAAACGTCGATGAGAGAGAAACATCCACCAGCTGCCTCCCGCACACCCCCTACCGGGGATGTGCCCACAACCAAGGTACATGCCCTTGACCGGAATCGAACCAGAGACTCTTCAGTCCGCAGACGTTCGCTCTACCACTGAGCCACACCGGTTTTGGCAAATTCACTTAACTCCCTTTCTGGTGTTCCTCTTTTTCTTTCCTTTGGTAATTGCTTTTTTGTCTTTCCATGTTTTCTTGTAATGTTTTAATTGTAGATCCAATTGCTTTGCTACCCAGGTTCTTTTGGGGATGGTGTTACAGGTGTGATCTCTCAGTTCTCCTGGGCTTGTTAATCTAGTGTAGCTCCCTACTGGAGCTATTTGGGTTCTCCTGGTGTAGGCCTGTGAGCTTGAGAGGCACAACAGCAGTGTCTTTAGGGGTGTCGAACTCAATCAGAGAAGGGGCCAAAATCTAAAATCCAGCCTAAATCGCGGGCCGAATGGTTTACTGAACAGTCATAAACTGTCATTGTGATGGAAACGCAGCGGAGTGCAGTGATGACAGCGCGGTGCGGGCCACATTGCAAGGCCTGGCGGGACGGATTTGGCCCGCGGGCCTTGTGTTTGACACATGTGGTCTAGAAGTCAGCCGCCTTGGAGGGGAGTGTCCCAATTTTTTGCTTGCACCCTTACTTGAAATCACACATGCCCAGCAGAGACTCACAGTGGCACCCAGGATCCGTCTGATGGGACTCGGGGGGCCTGCTCTCTGGAAAGGCACGACTGTGGTGCCCGGAGTTCTGCAGTCGTGGGGCGGGCAGACCCAGCTTTTGCTGTTGCACGTGTGATGGATGGGGTCTTACTCCCAGCGGCGGCTCACAGGAGCACCCGCGGTACGTTTACCCTCAGTACGTTCGCCAGCGAGGCGCACTGAAGGGCCCTGGCAGTGTAGCCGCGCAATTGAGGCGCCTGTGGGCTGGGATCCAGGATGAGTGAATTCAAAACTTCTACTGCTGGGGGTGGGGAGTGGGCCCCGCTTGTTCAAGATCGCACCCAGGGAGAGCTCACAGTGGCGCGCCCTGTGGGTAGATGGGCTCGGGGTGCCTGCCTGATGGAGCTTCGCCTCGGTGGAGGTGCGCTTGCACTCCGAGGGGTCCTGGCACCGCAGTTGAGCCGCTGGGGTGAATGTGGGTAGGTATCTAGGAAGAGGGAATTCAGAATTTCTACTGGGAAATTGTCTGTGCAGAATCACACCCTCGGGGGCTCTCAGAGGCTCCCAACCGCTGCCTGAGGAGTGGGGTGCCCTGGCTGCCTGCGGGGCTGGGCTGGATCCGCGTGAATCTGGAGTTCTGCCACTGGAGCGGGGAGGTTGCACTCACTGCTGCCGAGCAGTGCACCTCTGGAGGTGGAGGCCCCAGGTCCGCGGGTCTGCAGCCGGGGGGAGGGGGGAGGGTGGCAGGATCATGGCTGGAGTGGCTGCTGGGTTGCCGGGCAGTTCCGAGGCCTGTCTGGTTGGTGGTGTTGATGAGTTCCTGAAAAAGGCCGTTCTCTCCTTCAAGATGGCATGGAGTCCTGCCGTCCGGGCAGTGCCCGCAATGGTGGTAGTCTCTCCTTGTCAAGGAGAGCTGTCTGCCAGCCCCTGCTGTTCCTGTGAGATTTAACTTTCCCTCCCTCCTCACGCACACCCCACACACAGCCACACACACACTCCTTTCACACCCTCACCACTCAAGTCCTCTCCCTCACCTCTGTCCTACCAGCCACCATCTTTTTTTTCTAAATAAAGTTTTTTTTATAATGGGATTGGGTATAAACTCTTAAATGGAAATTTTTATGATATATTTAGGAAAATTAAGATGCAGAAATAAAGGATGATCTCATTTTTGTTATTCATATCATCTAGACATAGATGACTGGAAGGATCTATGTCAAAAGGATAATGCTGGGTAACAGCGATAGATAAGAGATTTAGAGCAACTTCTATTTCATTCCTCCTGAATTCCTGTTTTCCAAGTGTTCTATGATGAACATGTATTACTTTAAAAATAAGAAAACGGTTTACTTTTTAAAAAGTAACAGTGGCAGGTAAAGGGGAAGTGCTTTCTATTTGAATTGCTATTTGGTCACCATGACAACCTGTAATGTCAGTAGAAACGGATTCCTGCTGAAACCGGTTTGGCTCAGTGGATAGAGCGTCAGCCTGCGGACTGAAGGGTCCCAGGTTCGATTCCGGTCAAGGGCATGTGCCTTGGTGCAGGCTCATTCTCAGTAGAGGGTGTGCAAGAGGCAGCTGATCGATGATCTCTGTCATCGACGTTTCTAACTCTCTGTCCCTCTCTCTTCCTCTCTGTAAAAAAAATCAATAAAATATTTTTTAAAAAGTTAAAAAAAAGAAAGGGTGTTCCTTGTGTCAGAGTAGCCCGTACTTCACCTTGATTTGTTTATAGATGTGACAGTAGTTAACTGGCCAACCTATCTCGGCTCTCATTGCTATGATGAAGAACAAAAAAGATTTTTTAGAAATTTTGCAGTGAATTGTATAATAAAAAATAAACATGGCCCTTCTAGGGGTTTTTAGGAAAAAACCCGATAATATTTATAGATATTAACAATTTCCTTTCCTCTTACAGGTGATTTTAAAAATGGACCAGTTCGGAAATGGACTAGAAATTGACCAGGCTCGGCTGGGCATGTGCCGACAGCTTGGGGATGTGTTCACGGAGGAGAAGTTTCGGTATATGTGCATTCTCTCGGGCTGTGACTATCTCCCTTCGCTGCGCGGGATCGGGTTAGCAAAGGCCTGCAAAGTGCTGAGGCTAGCCAATAACCCCGATATTGTAAAGGTAAGACTGACTTACCAAGTGTCATCTTCGACTTTTGAAGCCTTTCCTAAATGATAGATAAAACACTGTGAATGTGGATTTGAAATATTATAGCCAGTAATATGTCACTGCCAGTACTGTGTCACTGAAATAAAATAGCCAGTAATGTGTCACTGAAATAAAATGACTACCACACTAGAAATTTGCTTTTGGCAACTTATAATGAACCATATTTTCAGCAGTTCACAAACTAGTAGTGGTTTTTTAAATGAGGAGTAATATAAAGAGTCTTAAGGGCTATTTGAAGTATTATAGAGTAGGAATAATGTTAAGACGTACCATCTTTTTATCTGTCCTATTACTCAATAGTAGTGGTTCTTAGTCTTTTGGTCTCAGGATCCCTTTATACTCTCTCTCTCTCTCTATGTATGTATGTATGTGTGTGTGTGTATATATATATATATATATATATATATATATATATAGAGAGAGAGAGAGAGAGAGAGAGAGAGAGAGAGAGAGAGAGAGGAAAGGAGGGAGAGGGATAAAGAGACAGAAACATCAATGATGAGAGAGAATCATTGATCAGCTGCCTCCTGCTCGCCCCCTACTGAGGATCAAGCCTGCAACCCAGGCATGTGCCCTTGGCTGGAATCGAACCTGGGACCCTTCCGTCTGCAGGTTGACGCTCTATCCACTGAGCCACGCCAGCCAGGGCTCCTCCGCTGTCTTGACCCTGAAGAAAGCATTGTGCACTAAAGAGCTTGTTTTCTCCCCGCTGGGTAGTTCTCCAAAGCCCTAGGATTGCAGAGCAGAGCTCCCCTTTTGTCTCCAGGGGGCAGTGTGCTTCCTCAGGGCTTGGGCTGGTGCAGCATCAGTGTGTCGGGAGTGGGAGACGGTGGGAGAGCTGGGAAGGGAGGGTCAGGCCCCGATCCTCATGTCACTACGGGATCCCTTCAGTTCTCCAGGTCTTCCCTTCTCCCTCTGTGATCTGATAGAAAATGTTTAGAGCCGGGATCGGTTTGGCTCAGTAGATAGAGCATCTGCCTGCTGACTGAAAGGTCCCGGGTTCGATTCCGGTCAAGGGCATATACCTTGGTTGCGGGCACATCCCCAGTGGGGGGTGTGCAAGAGGCCGCTGATCGATGATTCTCATCGATGTTTCTAACTCTATCCCTCTCTCTTCCTCTCTCTGAAAAATCAATAAAATACATTAAAAAAAAATGTTTAAAAACACTTCAAGCTTTAATCATCCATGACTGTTAGTTCGTAGGAGTTAGGACGCTAATTTCTCTAAGAATACTTGGGGGTTTCTAATTCTTGAGTTATATATGTTTTGGGTTTTTTCCTTCTGAATAAAAGGGACTTTGAGTGTGAAGAATATGTACTTAGGAATGTAAACTTTATGTGTAACTGAATTTCTCATTACTTGGATTAATAATAGAAAATGGCAAAGAAAATACTGTTATAGAAACTCAACATTTTAAGTGATCTTTACATGGTTGTGTTTGCTGGTAGAGGTTTTTAATGTAGATAAAAACTATTGGTTTTCCTGTTTCTCCCCTCATGTAAGCAGACGGGTCTTGGGGTTTATACATTCTGTATTCTTTACTTGCGGATAACGCGTAAATATTTTTGCATCCATTGCTAGGTTATCAAGAAAATTGGGCATTACCTCAAGATGAATATCACAGTGCCAGAAGACTACATCAAAGGCTTCATTCGGGCCAACAACACCTTCCTGTACCAGCTCGTGTTTGATCCCGTCCGAAGGAAGCTGGTCCCTCTGAATGACTACGGAGACGACGTTGACCCCGTGGCGCTGAGCTACGCTGGGCGGTATCCTCTCTGAACCACGTGGTGGGGTTCCAGCCCCTCCCTGTGTCCGTGGTGGCATTCCAGGCGAGGCAGCCAGTATAAAGCTTGCAAACTCCTTCTTGCTTTCTTTTCTGTAATGAAATCTGGGTTTTGTTCATTTTGATTAGCCTGCTGGTGAAAATTTAGAGCAACTTTTTGTTTATAAATCTGAGGCCCGTTTGCTGTAGCTTGTTAATTACTTAGTGGGACTTAATAGGGACATATTCCAGAGGTGACACGTAAAACTTATTCTTTTTTAAAAAAGATATTTTATTGATTTTTTTACAGAGAGGAAGGGAGAGAGATAGAAACATCGATAGAGAGAAACATCCATCAGCTGCCTCCTGCACACCCCCTACTGGGGATGTGCCCGCAACCAAGGTACATGCCCTTGACCGGAATCGAACCTAGGACCCTTCAGTTCACAGGCTGACGCTCTATCCACTGAGCCACACCGGTTTGGGCTTAAAACTTCTTTCTACAGCATTAGGAATGCTGGCTGATCTATGAATCCTCCAATGAAGCCGAATAGATTTTTAAAAAACAACAACAAAGGGGACACTTAAGAGAAACGCTTGTGGCAAGCAAGCTGGGCGTGTTAGGAGCGGCGTTGTGGGCGTGCGAGGACTCCCGCTGAGGGAGCCCTTCCCACAGCCGCTGCCACTCCCTCGGGCGGGCAGTGCCCAGCCTGGGCCACTCGGCAGGCGGCCAGGCCCCTCTCCATCTTCTTGAGAGGGAGTAGGCGATGCCTCTGGCTTTGCTTCGGGAGACAGCCAGCTCCTGCGGTGACAAGCAGATGAGTAAATGTGCTTGTGGTTTCGGTAATGCCGAGTGTGGATGGAAGGAAGGAGCATCCATTGACGTTATAAAACTGAGGATTTCCTGTGACAGTGGAATATACTTTTCTTTTTAATTTATATTTTTCTATAACAATGGAATACACTTTTCTGTTTTTAATTTATATTTTTATTGATTTCAAAGAGGAAGGGAGAGAGAGAGAGAGAGAGAAATATCAGTGATGAGAGGGAATCATTGATTGGCTGCCTCCTGCACACCCCCCACTGGGACTCAGCCCCACAACCCGGGCCTATGCCCTGACCTCCTGGTTCACAGGTCGACGTTCAACCACTGGGCTATGCTGGCCGGGCCCACTTTTCTTCTTCTTTTTTTTTTTTTTTTTTTTTTTAATATATTTTATTGATTTTTCACAGAGAGGAAGAGAGAGGGATAGAGAGTCAGAAACATCGATGATGAAAGAGAATCATCGATCAGCTGCCTCTTGCACACTCCCTACTGGGGATGTGCCCGCAACCAAGGTCCATGCCCTTGACCGGAATCGAACCCGGGACCTTTCAGTCCACAGGCCGACGCTCTATCCACTGAGATAAACCGGTTTCGGCGCACTTGTCTTCTTAATACAGTGGGTTTTGTTCCATTGTTAATAAAAACATTTGTCCTTAATCTTACCAACCTAGGTATATTGATGACTCCATAGCTCTTCAGATAGCACTTGGAAATAAAGATATAAATACTTTCGAACAGATTGATGACTACAGTCCAGACGCTGCCACGGTAAGTCTCTTAATGGCTTCTTTCTAAACGCACATTCAGTGTAGTGAACATATTTTATTTTATTATTTTTATTTATTTATTTTAATATATTTTTAAATATATTTTATTGATTTTTTTTTGGGCCCCCCTTCCTCCCATACACACCCTCCTTTCGCAGAGTTTTATGTCCATTGGTTGTACTTATATGCATGCATACAAGTCCTTCGGTTGATCTATTATCTCCCCCAGATCTCCTGTGCAGAGTATAGGTCAGAAACAGTTAAAGAAATTGTGTCTCCTAGAACGTAGGTACAGCGGGTAATTTCCTTACATTAAAGACCTTTAGATTAGAACTTTGCATTTGAATATACCAAGCATTCAGTGCCTTTCTCCTCCTCTCACCCTGTTCGCCCTGTCATGTTGTTAAAGATCCAAATCTAGAAACGCTACCCTTGCAAGTATAAGTTGGTTTCCACTGATGCACAATTTAGCAAACGTTTAATAAACACCTCCGCTCTGTTCTGTAGCCCTTCCCTGTTTTCTTCTACTTTTTCCCTATTCTATCTATCGCTCTTGGTCCAGTCTCCCGCCATTCTCTCTTCTCTGTTCATGTTTTCACTCAGACTCTGTTCTCTTCATTCATCTTTATTCTAACCCAGTCTCCAGTCTGTGTACCAGCCACACAATCTCTACTTAAATGAGTTCCGGTAACCTGAAATCTATCCACAGCCAAACACAAACTCTTCATCTTCATCAGCTTTCCCTAGTAACATTTCTCTCTCTCTCTCTCTCTCTCTCTCTCTCTCTCTCTCTCTCTCTCTCTTTCTCTCTCTTTCTCTCTCTCTCTCTCTTTTGTACTTACTGTATGTAATTTATGTCTGGTTTATTTTCTGATTCTCCCCAAAATAATGTAACCTTCATAAAGGCAGGGTTTTATGAGCTTTCATTGCCAACTCCTTACAAGGAAGGATTATATTTTCTTTGTACTCCAGACCATTAGCTTTCCTAACCATATTTTATATGCTTAATAAATGCTTAGTAAATGACTGATTAATGAGAATGAGCAAGGGTAAAAAGGCCTGGATTGGACTGGGAACTAAGACAGAAGACACTTCTTAACCAGCACGACAGCTCAGAGAAGCAAAAGGACTTAGCCAAACCAGCTAGGGCTACTTTTTTCTTAGGATGAGCTAATAAGGTCACTTAGAAAAGAAAACAAACCTAAGAATACAAGGAACATGTAACCGAAAGTGTAGGAATTGTCCTTAGAGGACAGATAATTCATCAAAAAGCTCTTTTTATGGATGATTATTTGTTTATAATTTGTGTTGATACAGAGGGAAATAATGTACTATGTTTTTCAAGTAATCTTTTTGCTTTTACTGTTTTAGCCTGCCCTGTCAAGAAGTCGTAGTTGGGATGACAAAACGTCTCAGAAACCATCTAGCGTTGATAGCATTTGGCACAGGAATTACTGCCCTAGACTTGAGCGGGATGCGGTTCCGGGCCCTACGAGACTGAAGGAGAATCCAAGCACTGCAGGCAGGGAGCAGGTGATCAGCACCAGAGGCCTGAATCTGCCCCGGAAGCTGTCCGCGGTGAAGCGGCCGAGAAGCGGTATGTGTTTCGTCTCTGTGAAATGCTAGTCAGCACTGGTCATGTTTAAGAAATCCATCTTTTCCAACCCAAGGTCACTAAGATTTTCTCCTGTTTCTTTTAGAAGTTTTATAGTTTTAACTCATTTTTAGGCCTGTGATCCATTTTTAACTGATTTTTTCTTATGTGATATGAGGTAACGGGTCAGGTTGTGTTTTTTGCCAGTTCAGTCGTCCCAGGGCCATTTGTTAAAAAGATGACCCTTTTCTATTGAATTCCTGGGCACACTTGGTGGCCATCAGTTGGCGTGTGTGTGTGTGTGTGTGTGTGTGTGTGTGTCTGAAGTGTTATGAAGCATTGATCTCCCTAACTTCATGCCAGACACACTGTCTTGATCACTATAACTTCACAGTCAATTTCAAAGTCAAGTGGTATAGTCCCTTACTTCTTTGAAAAGTTGTTTTGGCTAACTCTGTGTTGTGCACATTTTCATTTAAATCTTAGAATCAACTTTGTTGTGGTGGTGGGGTTTTTTTTTTGTGTGTGTGTGTTTTTTATTGATTTCAGAGAGGAAGGGAAAAGGAGAGATGGAAACATCAATGATGAGAAAGAACCATTGATTGGCTGCCTCCTGCAAGCCCCCTACTGGGAATCGAGCCCACAACCCGGGCATGTGCCCTTGACTGGAATTGAACCCGGGATCCTTCAGTCTACAGGCTGATGCTCTACCCACTGAGCCAAACCGGCTAAGACTGTTGTTTTTTAAAAAGCTTGCTGTGATGTTTACTGGGAATTAGTTTAATCTATAGATCAATTTGGGGGAGGGGAATTGACATCGAATTTTCAGATCCATTTATTTAAGTCTTCAGCAGTGCTTTATAATTTTCGCTACCCAGGATTTGTATATCCCTTAAAATCATTTTTTTTTTTTTTAACATTCAAAATTAAGCCCTTGGTATAATTAGTATATAGCCTTACAAAATTGATTGTGTCCTGAATTTTTGGTTTGGGTAATTTTACATAAAATTGTACAAATAATTGACATTAAAGCATTCTAACTTATGAAATTGTAAAACACAGCCAAGAAAAAAAAAATTAAGTTATCCTTGGATTTTCTTCTCTGGTGCATAGTTAAAAAAAAAAAAAAAAATTATCCTTAAAACAAAGGAAACTAAAGCCGAATCTTTAACTGCATGTGGGCAAACATTTATTCACGGGCACTCCATTTTTATTTAGAGGAGCTGTCAGAAGATGATCTGTTGAGTCAGTATTCTCTGTCGTTTGCAAAGAAGACCAAGGAATATGGCTGCGAAGGCAGTACATCATCGAACTCTTCCAAAATGCCGCTGGTTGACCCAGTGGATGGCACTACTATTAAAAAAACCGTAAGCACGCCGCCTACGACAAGGAATAAATTTGCTGCACTTTTGCAGAGGAAAAACCAAGAAAGTGGTGCCGTCGTGGTTCCTGGGACCAGGAGCAGGTATGGCTCCATCTCTGGATGCTTTGTGTCTGTTGTGTTCTGTGCTGCATTGACCTGTGCTTCGACGGTGTTAGGTACAACATCGAGTCTAGCTGGGGAAGGTGTAAGACCTGACTTAATAATGACAAATTTTTTATTTGTTTTAATATATTGATTTTTTTACAGAAGGGAGAGGGATAGAGAGTTAGAAACATTGGTGAGAGAGAAACATCGATCAGCTGCCTCTTGCACAGCTCCGACTGGGGATGTGCCCGCAACCAAGGTACATGCCCCTGACGGGAATCGAACCTGGGACCTTTCAGTCCACTGGCGGATGCTCTATCCACTGAGCCACACCAATTTCGGCAACGATGACAGTTTTTATTGCCTGCGTTCAGACCTGAATGCACAGCTTTCCCTTGAACTTCTGCTGCTTTTTGTATTAGAAAAACTGTTTTTGGAGGTAGTCTCTACTTTGTTTCTTTAAAAACTAAGTACATTTTCCAAGTATTACTAGAAGTATATTTAAATACTGATGAATATAAGAGCTCTAAGGGCCCAGCCGGGTGTAGCTCAGTGGTTGAGCGTCAACCCAGGAACCAAGAGGTCACCGGTTCAATTCCTGGTCAGAGCACGTGCCCAGGTTGTGGGCTCGATCCATGCAGGAGGCAGCCAATCAATGATTCTCTCTCATCATCAATGTTTCTATCTCTATCTCTCCCTCTCCCTCTCTCTCTGAAATCAATAATATATATATATATATTTTTTTATTATGATTATTTTTTTTAAAAGAGCTCTAATAATTGAGAACTTGATACGATACTAGGTGTTGAGTTACAAAAGTGAGAGGCGTAGACTTTATTCTTGAGGAGCTTCTAGTATAGTTGGAAAAATAAGTCCATAAACAAAATCTTCTCAGCCCATGTGGTAAGTGCAGTGATAGAGGTGTGCATAAAATTATTTATGAGATTTTATTTTAAAAAGAAACTTTGGCCGAAACCGGTTTGGCTCAATGGATAGAGCGTCGGCTTGGGGACTGAAAGGTCCCGGGTTCGATTCCGGTCAAGGGCATGTACCTTGGTTGCAGGCATATCCCCAGTTGGGGGTGTGCAAGAGGCAGCTGATCGATGACTCTCTCTCATCGATGTTTCTAACTCTCTATCTCTCTCCCTTCCTCTCTGTACAAAATCAAAATAAAATAAAATAAAAAGAAACTTTGCCATATTCTGAATCTTATTTAAAATACTCATGCTTATTTAAAATACTTATGCGTTGTTTTTCCTGTTAGGTTTTTTTGCAATTCTCTGGATTCTATGGACTGTGTATCAAAGAAAGCAAGCCCCCAACCTCCAGATGAAACTGCTGACACAGATAAAGAGAACAATCTCAATGAATCAGATTGTCTAAATGATAAAGTGGTTGATCTCAATGAATCAGATTGTCATGAGAGCAAGGAGCTGGTTGATCTGAATCAATCAGATTGTCTAGAGAGCGAAAAGCTGGTTGATCTCAATGAGTCAGACTGTCTAGATGATAAAGTGGTTGATCTGAATCAATCAGATTGTTTAGAGAGCAAGAAACTGGTTGATCCAAAAGAGACAGGTTGTCTAGATAAAGTGGCTGATCTGAATCGATCAGATTGTCTAGAGACCAAGAAGCTGGTTGATCTAAATGAGTCAGATTGTCTAGAGAGCGAAAAGCTGGTTGAACTAAATGATTCAGATTGTGTAGAGAGCAATGTAGCACCCAGCCCACGTGATCAGACTCCAGAGGGCGGAGCTGTGGTCGCTGGTGAAGAGCCTCAGTCCTTTAAGACCACCGGATTCACAAGGACCATCTCCCCACCCCCTCTGGGGACGCTGAGAAGCTGTTTCAGCTGGTCTGGAAGTCTTGGAGGTTTTTCAAGGACTCCCAGCCCCTCTCCGAGGACAGCATTACAGCAGTTCCGGAGAAATGGGGACTCCCCCAGCTCCCTGCCCGAGAGGAGGGTGTCCGATGCGTCTCAGGTCAAGAGTGAGGAGTCAGGAGATGAAGCGCATCCCGTACATGAACTGAGCTGGTCCTCACGGTCTCAGGGGAGTGCAGAGTTATCCCCTCACAGCTTAAGTGCGTCCACACTCCCTCGGCTTTCCTCTAAGGATTCCAGCCCAGAGGTAAGTCCCACGAAACCTTTGTTTCCAAATTTATACGTAAAACAAAATAGGGCGATTATCCTATAATGGAGACAAGTTTGCCCACGTGATGAGAATAATTGGCGGTTTTAACTTTTCGTTCTAGATATTACCGTGTAGACAATTTACATCTCACTCACCTGAAGAACTTCTCCCTGTCTTCCTATTTTAAACTGAAACTGTCAACCTCATTCTCTCCACGTTAGGTCCATTTTTTTTTTTTTTTACTCTGCCCCTAGCTTCTTACATTTTCTTTTCTGGGGGGAAAAAAACAAAATGTTACATTTATACTGATTTTCTCATTTTGTTTTATGTTTTGTTGAATTTTGGTTAGTTGTCATGTATACATTCCATAGTGAAAACCTAATTTTATTTTATTTTATTTTTTGATCTGGGGGATCTAGGAATCTGATTGCAATTTTAAGTCACTTGGTAATCAAGGTAATCAGAAACCCACGCTACATGTCTCTCACTTTTCAAAAAAAGACACACCTCTGAGAAACAAGGTAAAACATTCACTTATTTCATGTCACGTGTCAGAAAATGAGAAACACAATGAAAAATGTTAAATGCCTATAATTTTATTTACACAAAAATGTCTACTTTCAAACAAACCTTCCAGGATCCTGTGTGTGCCTGATTGTAGGCGTTCCGGTTGTGTTTGCTTGTGGTATAAGGGTCTTTTTCCCACAGTCGCCTGCCTTTTCACGGTGCAGGTATGTTCTGAGAAATGCGTCATTTTTGTGAAAGTCTAGTGAGATGTATAAGCAGATATTTAGGAGACACTGAATTGCCCTGTCATATCTGGAAAGCCATTTGAGAGAGTTCAAGTGATTTAACCCGGTAAGTGCATTCTGGAACTTGAATCTAAGGAAATAGAGTTTCTATAAGAACATTTACTTGTGTATTGGTTATACTGGTGAAAATTGGAGATAAAAGACAAATTGTTAAATACATTCTTGGTTTTAGGTCTTAGCGGGTAGGAATAAAGGGGGATTTCTTTGTTGTTTTCCATGTTTTTCTGTATGAACATATTTACTTTTTAAAGCACAAAAACTTTGAATATTTCAAGTCCTCATATCCATCTGAAAGGTTTCTATCTCATACTATAGCAAATATAAGACTTTTTTTTTTTTTTTAACATCGTTGAATAAGAAAGGCTTTTCAGTCATATCCTGCCTTTGAAAAGGAAAAAGTATGTTATTAACCTGGTGTTTTTGTTTGCTTTATAATACCTAAAAATATTCATGCGCACGTGTATGTTTATATAATTATAGTAAGCAGTCTGGAAATAGATATCAAAACTGGTGGCAGTAACTGAGAGGACTAGAAATGTAGAAAGTACTTTCCCCAAAGGAGTTATGTCCGACGTTAAACCATCTTTTGTTGTTATTCTCTGTCAGAGATTCTCTCTGTCGGAGTTTTAACTCACTCCTGGTTCAGTGAGAATTCTGATGCATCTTCCCTCTCAGTCCAGTTTCATCATCTTATCACTAAGCAGTGCATCTCAGAATAAAATCGTATTTTTCTCGTTTAGTTTCAAAATCTTAGAATTGTCCTTTTTTTTTTTTTTTAAATTTTTTTGATTTTTTTTTTTTTTTTTTTTTTTTTTTTTTCCAGAGAGGAAGGGAGAAGGAGAGATAGAAACATTCATGATGAGAGAGAATCACTGATCGGCTGCCTCCTGCACGCCCCCCACTGGGGACCGAACCCACAACCTGGGCATGTGCCCTTGACTGGAAAGGAACCTGGGACCCTTCAGTCTGCAGGCCGACGCTCTATCCCCTGAGCCAAACCGGCCAGGGCCGTCCTTTTCTTTTTATGTGTTTCATTTATTTATTTATTTTTTCAGAGAGGAAGGGAGAGGGATAGAGAGTTAGAAACATCGATGCCAGCTCAGTCCGTCTTCAGCAGGGGGTGAAGGAAGCAACTAAACCTGATCCTTTCCAAGTGGCGACATTTCTTTGTCCTGTGTCTTGCTCTCTCATCCCTCCCCCGGGATTTCCCCTTCAGCTGTGAATCTTTCCCTTCTTTGTACGCCGTCTGCCGGCTTCATCAGTTCTCTCTCCTCCTCACTTCTATCTCCCTGTTGCTATCCCAAAAAACACCACTTCAATGGCCCCGTGTTTCACCCAACAAAAACCAGCCCTTTGGTGTAAAGAACCTGTCAGCAGAGACCTGCTTGAGTAAATTGTGGCACATTTAGACAGTGGAGGACCAGACAACCTATTCAAAACAAAAGCAAGTTTTATGTGTGAAGCGGGAAAATCTCCAAGGTGCATTATTAAGTAAAATCAAGATATATTAAGTGAGCCGGGACCGGTTTGGCTCAGTGGATAGAGCGTCGGCCTGCAGACTGAAAGGTCCCAGGTTCGATTCCGGTCAAGGGCATGTACCTTGGTTGCGGGCGCATCCCCAGTGGGGGGTGTGCAAGAGGCAGCTGATCGATGATTCTCTCTCATCGATGCTTCTAACTCTCTATTCCTCTCTGTGAAAAATCAATAAAATATATTTTTAAAAAAAGATATTAAGTGAGAAAAACAAAGTACACGATAGTTGTGTGTATTATGCTGCCGTGTGTGTGTGTGTGTGTGTGTGTGTGTGTGTGTGTACAGGAGTCCCCTTATCTATGATTTTGCTTTCTGCTGTTTTGGTTACTCGTGGTCAACTATAGTCTGAAAATATTAAATGGAAAATGACAGAAATGAATAGTTCATAAATGTTAAGTTGCATGCCTTGTTCCATTTCATGTCTCCATCCCTGCTGGGGTGTTAATTCTCTGTCCAGTATATTCACTCTGTAACCCCACCCACCCGTTAGGTGCTTAGCAGCCACGTGTTGTGGGACCAGCTGCCTGTCAGCTCAGTGACTGGGTTTTACTTAGTAATGTCCCCCAAGTGCGGCAGTGGTGACGCCGCCATGGAATTGCTACTCCCGCGATCCAGATCGCCGAGAGAAGCTGTGACGTGAAGAGGTGAACGTTCCCGGCTCAGATAGGAAAGAGAGCACTGTGTGCGGAGGGTGCTCAGATCCATGGGAAAAGCGAATGTTCTATTTTTGTTGTTGTTGTTTTTAAATATATTTTATTGATTTTTAACAGAGAGGAAGAGAGAGAGAGAGAGAGAGAGAGAGAGAGAGAGAGAGCTAGAAACGTCGATGAGAGAGAAACATCGGCCAGCTGCTTCTTGCACACCCCCTACAGGGGATGTGCCCGCAACCAAGGTACATGCCCCTGACCGGAATCGAACCTGGGACCTTTCAGTTCGCAGGCTGACGCTCTACCACTGAGCCAAACCGGCTTCGGCGAATGTTCTGTTTTGAGGAAGGAAAAGAATTTGTGCTTGTTTATCGTCACACCTCAAACCGCACAAGTGACAGCTGCAGGCATTGTCAGGGCTTCGTGTGAATGGGAAAGTGTAGAGCTTTATCATAGGTGTGTGTGTGTGTGTGTGTGTGTGTGTGTGTGAGTGTGAGAGAGAGAGAGAGAAAAAAACAGCATTACATTTATAGTTATGTGCTGTCCACAACTGCAGGCATCCACTGGGTTCTTTTTTTAATGATTGATTTTTTACAGAGAGGAAGAAAGAGGGATAGGGAGATACATCGATGAGAGAGAAACACAGATCAGCTGCCTCCTGCACACTCCCTACCGGGGATGTGCCCACAATCAAAGTACATGCCCTTGACCGGAATCGAACCTGGGACCTTTCATTCCACAGAGCCAAACCGGTCAGGGCCACTGGGGGTCTTGAAACAGATCCCCACAAATAATGGGGGGGTATGAAATGACTGTAAAAGGATTCAGACAGCGATGAAGGAGTAAGGCAGAGGCTCACTTAATTCTTAAGTGCCAGGTGCTACGTGTATTTAACGGTTAAAATTAATTTTTGTAGTATTGTAAATGGCACATTTTTACATATTGCCTGTTATTTTTCTGTTCTGGGGTAAAAAGGACAGCTTGACATTAACTAAAGGAGTTGCTTTAACAAGAGTATTAAAACCGGCATTTATTTTCCAGGTCCCTGGGCTGTATAAGTCTAGTTCTCTGGACAGTCTCTCTACCACCAAGATCAAGCCTCTGGTGCCGGCCAGAGCCAGTGGGCTGAGCAGGTGGCCAGCGAGAGCCCAGAAGAGGAAGCATCACAGCGCCCATCACAACGCCGAGAACAGGCCAGGAATGCAGACCAAGATCAATGAGCTCTGGAAGAACTTCGGATTTAGAAAGTGAGTTGTCCTGTTTCTTTAATTTCAGTCTTCCTCCCGAGTCTTTCTGTTCCCTTATGAATCATTTTTCTCTTACCTATTTTCTTTAGCTGACTCTATAATTTAACTGCAATTTCTGTGCCTTCTTTTACTGAAAAGATGGCAAACTGATAAAACACACACACACACAAAAAAAACACCCAGTTCTCGGTCGGCTCTGGGGGGGGTCTCTCTTGTTAAGCAAATCACATGACTCTTTCTGGCCTGAGTGTCTCGGCTTTCTTTCCTTCTCTCTCAGGATTGTAATGAGAACAAGGTTAAGACATGGGGTTTGGGAAGGTAATTGTGCTTCTGGGTATAATGCACTGTGTTTCCTTAAGTTATCACATCTAAAATGGGAGGCGTTAGCTGCAGCCAGTTTGGCTCAGTGGATAGAGCACCAGCCTGCGGACTGAAGGGTCCCGGGTTCAATTCCAGTCAGGGGCACATACCTTGGTTGCAGGCTCCTCCCCAGCTGGGCCCTGGGCAGCGCATGCAGGAGGCAACCGATTGATGTGTGTCTCCCGCTCTCGTTAATAAGAAATAATTTTTAAATGGGAGGAATCACTGAGTTTATAAGATGAATTGGCCAGATTTCTAATGTATGTGGCAAACATGGATTTCAATGAGTTGCCCCTGTATAGATCTACAATGCTTGTTAGATTACAAGATTAACTGCAGAGTAACATTGATTTATAACTCACTTATTTTCTTTTTAAATCTTTTATTATTGAGAGTATTGCGGATGCCCCCCCCTTTTCCCCAATTGCCCCCTCCACACCATTACCACCCCACTGTCCGTGTTTAAAGGTAAGATCTTTGGTTATCTCTTCCACACCCACCCCCTTCCCGCTGAGAGTCATCAGTCCACTCCATGCTTCTCTGCCTCTGATTATATTTTATTCACTAGGTTTCCTACTCATTTTGATTTTTAGATTAATATATGAAAAATAGATACCTTTTGCTTCCTGCTCCCTTGCCCTCCTTCCTCCCCCGGATTTTGGCTGCTTCCCCATGTTTGTTGCTGTGTCTCCCAGAAGTGGTAGCAGGTCCTATGGCTCAGCCTCCGCAGTCACCTGAGCTGGGGCGCCCGTGTGCGCCCAGCCTTGTAGTGGAGCCTCGATTGCTGTTGGTGTCACTGGGAGGAGTTGACCCCAGGCCAGGCTGTGAGGAGCAGCTGCAGTGGAGAGCTGCTGGGCAGGAACCCCTGTGCGGCAGCACTTGCTTCAGTGCTCACTGAGTCTGCCTCCTGAGTGTGGCGCATGTGGGTGTGTAATCTATGGTCTGAAGCCGTCCGCTGGGTGCGCTGGCTCTAGGGCCTCTAGGGAGGTGCAGGGTGAGCCACTGCCTGGGGCCACCCAGCAGGGACTACTGAGATCTGCTGTTTGCATTGGGCTCAGATGCCCAGGCCCAGCTGTGAAACAAGGCTGGCTGGTGCTGGGGCCTTTAAAAAAAAAAAAAAAAAAAAAATCTATTGATTTTGTAGAGAGAGGAAGGGAGAGGAACAGAGAGTTAGAAACATTGATCAGCTGCCTCCCGCAAACATCCTACTGTGTATGTGCCGGCAACCCAGGTACATGCCCTTGACCTGAATCGAACCTGGGACCCTTCAGTCCCCAGGCCGACCTTGTATCCACTGAGCCAAACCAGCTAGGGGCGGGTCTTGGGCCTTTTGTTGATAGGTTTGACACCAGCTGCTGCTTGTTTGAGAGATTTGTTTGATTTTTGTGAAGTCTGAGCCAGGACAGGCCATGCATTTGGAAAAGCAGCTACAGTCAGCTTGGGTGGATTGGGGGCTCAGGGAATCCCCAAGGCAGAGCAAACAGTGCTGATTGAGCCTCAGACATGGCTGCCAGTCACCCTGTGACCGGAGGCCCCAGCACAGGAACAGGGACCACTGTGAACACCCGTCTGGGAGACAGCCGCCCCCGAGTTCCCCAGCGCTGGAGCTTGGAAGAAGGGGGACCTTGTAAGTGTGCGCATGGGCCCTTTAAGGGGAACAGCTGGGACCCCAGCAGTCTCGTCACTGAGCCACATCCCCTGCTTTTTACAGCCTGTATTACCATGCACCTCTCTTCCCACCTCTGGAACCCTAGGCTGGGACCCCTGCTCCTCGCTGGCGCCTCTGCAGAGAGGTCTGCCTCCCAATTAGAAACAACACACAACGCCCACGTGGCTGTGGGACCAGCCTGGTCGCCCTCCTACCAGTCTGTGTGCCCTCTCCGGCTGCAGGGCTTCTGTGCAGCCAGCGTTCGGGCAGTTCTGCGTGATGGTTCTTACTGTGGTTGTCACTCTGACATGGCTGTGGGAGGCTGGAGTACAGGCATGTACCGGTGCGGCCATCTTGGCTCGCTCTTCATTCGTTTTCTTATTCTTAAAGCAAATGTGCTAAAAAGAAATGAAAAACAAAGATTACCCGGGTGCCATAGGATTCAGCCTTATCTAACAGAGGTGTTGTCACCAGGTGAAACGGTGTGAATGGGAACACTTAGTAAAAACACTGGCCAGCACTTACTTACAATTTACATTGTGTCAAGTCTAGGACTAAACCATATTGCATGAGTTCTCAAACACCTGTCTTCAGGAACCCTTTATACTTTTAAAAGTTGAGGGCCCCAAATTATTAGTTACACGTGTCAACATTTAACCTTTTAGAAATTAAAATAGACACAACTATAAACTTATTAAGTATTTAGAATCAACAGCATAGTTCTATTACAAAAAAAAAACAAAAAAAAAAACTACACATTTGCAAGTCTTCATTGCCTACTTCAGTGTTTCCCAAACTTTTGACATATATGTACCCCTTCTATAATTTTCGTAACGCTGAGTACCTCTCATACTCATGAGAACATAGAATTAGGCGCAGCTAAGCAATTGTAAATCTTTTCTGACATCACATAAAGTCAACAAGCAGTAGTTATTGTGAGGCCGAGCATGAAACCCTGACACTGAACTTCCCGCATCCCACTGACCTGACCAGACCCGTGTTGCTCTTTGAGAGCATCTTGCTCTTGTGCCTGACAGCGCCAGCTGGTCACTTCTAAGCTGTGCCTGGAGGTGGAGAACACAAAAAATGGGGGTAAGAGTTAGGGCTAGAACATTTGTTCCTGCCTCACATTGGTTCTTAGCAAGATTTGAAGAGGTGCCAAGTAGAAAAGAACTCGTTTCTCTACTGCAGTGGTTCTCAACCTTGCTAATTCCGTGATCCTTTTAATACAGTTCCTCATGCTGTGGTAACCCCCAGCCATACAATTATTTTCGTTGCACTGGAACCGGTTTGGATAGAGCGTCAGCCTGCGAACTGGAAAGCCTGGGTTTGATTCCGGTCAAGGGCATGTACCTTGGTTGTGGGCACATCCCCGGTGGGGAGCGTGCAGGAGGTAGCTGGTCGATGTTTCTCTCTCATCGATGTTTCTAGCTCTCTATCCCTCTCTGTAAAAAATCAGTAAAATATATTTAAAAATTTATTTTCGTTGCTACTTCATAACTGTAATTTTGCTACTATTATGAGTTGTACTGTAAATATCTGTGTTTTCCGATGGCCTTGGGCGACCCTGCTAGCGGTTCTCAACCTGTGGGTTGAGACAAGAGATGCTGTAGAGCCTGAGACAATTGGAAAACACTGATATTTAATTATGATTCATAACAGTAGCAGAATTAGCTATGAAGTAGCCACGAAAACAATGTTATGGTTGGGGGTCACCACAACATGAGGAACTGAATTAAAGGGTCGCGGCATTAGACTCATTGGACTCTATTGGACTCATTCTGCCTCAGCTCGCGTGTCTTTACCAGGGAGCCACGCCTCCGGCCACTGAAGCAGGTGCCATTGGAGGGAGGCCCTCCGAGAACCTGGATGTGCACAGCCACACTACAGGGCCGTGTCCTCTCTCTGGCCTTTATTCTGTCCCCGAGAGCATCCTCTAGGAGCCTCTGCCCTTTAAAGACGCCAAGTTCATGGCGTTCTGTTCTGTTTTGCAGAGATTCTGAGAAGCTTCCTTCCTGTAAGAAGCCAGATCCCCTGTCTCCAGTCAAGGATAACATCCAGCTCACTCCGGAGACGGAAGAGGACATCTTCCACAAGCCGGAATGTGCGCGTGTGCAGAGAGCCATATTCCACTGAGCCTGTCCGTCCGGAACGCCCTCTGGCAGGGAGGGGTGACCAATTCTGTTCTCAGAGTCCCACCACGTTTTTTAAATAAGAGTACATTTTGTATATGAACTCTGCGATTGCTTCCTTTGTTCAGCTTTTTACGTTTGCATAAGCAGCTAACGAAGGTAATTATTTTTAATGTTATTTGGCAGGCCCGCTAGAATTTATAAAAATTGACTCCTAGGGATTTCTGTTGCATTGTGAGCATAGAATGGCGAGTGGAAAGTCGCATTTCTGTAAATCATTTTAGCCTGGAGGAAATCGCTGTATCCCTCCAAGCTCCGCAGTTTTCCACATGCCCCTCTCTGCCTTTCAGGGTTGGGTGGGAAATAAATTTGCTGGGAGGGGGGTTGGAAGGCGTGCAGGTGGCTGCACAGCGGGCCAGGCTTTCCTACCCCTGAGGGGTTTGGTTGGGATGCACATTTGACAGTGGAAGGAACTACTACTGACATCACTGATATTCTTAAACTTCCAAATAGCCTGTTTTTAAATATGTCTTTTTTGAAGTACAGGCTAGAAACTCAACATATATTTAAAATGAGTGTCCTAGGTGTGATGTCAGATGCTACAGCTGCAGGGTCTATAAAGCAGTTGCCAGCCGGTGGTTGGCGACCGCTGGTCTCTAATACACACACTCCACAGAGAAAATAGGCAGACACCTGGACAAAACCAGCTGTGCAAGTGGAAATCTGGCATGATGTAAAGAAATTTTTTAAAATACATTTGTATTGACTTTAGAGAGAGAAAGGAAGGGACAGAAGCATCAATGATGAGAGAGAATTGTTGATCAGTTGCCTCCTGCACACCACATACTGGGCATGGACCCTGCCACCTGGGCTTGTGCCCTGACCGGCAATCAAACTGTGACCTCCTAGTTCATAGGTCAGTGCTCAACCACTGAGCCACACCAGCTGGGCTAAAGAAATTATAGAATTACCTAAGCCAGTGGTCGGCAAACTCTTTGACCCCTTGAGTGTGGCTCTTCCACAAAATGCCACTGCCTGGACGAGTCTATTTTGAAGAAGTGGCGTTAGAAGAAGTTTAAAAAAATTGGCTCTCAAAAGAAATTTCAATCGTTGTACTGTTGATATTTGGCTCTGTGGACGAATGAGTTTGCCGACCACTGACCTAAGCTATCGAAGATAGAGGACAGGGACCCAGAATATTTTAATGTTTAAATGAGACTTAAACCCTAACTGGTTTGGCTCAGTGGATAGAGCATCGGCTTGTGGACTGAAAGGTCCCAGGTTCAATTCCGGTCAAGGGCATGTACCTTGGTTGCAGGCACATCCCCAGTAGGAAGTGTGCAAGAGGCAGCTGATTGATGTTTCTAACTATCCTTCCTTTCTCTCTGTAAAAAATCAATAAAATATATTTTAAAAATAAAATGAGACTTAATAGAGGACTATTGCCTAACAGATCAGAATGGAACCATGAACATAACATTGTAAGAAACAATAAAAAATCATCTGAAAAGAAAAATCCAAAGAACAGAAGAAAATCTGAGTTTTCTGTGAATGTCTCCTGCTATCGAACGATGAAGAATGCGAATCAAACATGGTCTGCAAAAGTGTATCTTCTCCCCCATTTAAAATACCACCTAACGGACAAAAGGAATAAAACATACTACATACAGGTTAACAGGGTTACACGTCCCTCCTCCAGGGGCAGAGCCACAGGGTGAGTTCCGATGAGCTCAGCCAGCGGGGACATCACACAGGCGCCTTCAAAGTGGGGCAGGAGTGAGGCTGGAGCAGACAGGGCGCCTGCGAGTGTTTATAGTTGGGGGGGAGGAGGGGGGGCAGAGGAAAAGGCGGCAGCACAGTAGTTTCTCCATCTCCAAACCCTGCACTAGAGAGCCAGTCACACCTGTGAGCATGACAGCAAACTCAGCAACTGATCTCACTGAGTCCCAGTCCCAAACCCCCACCAAGGCCACTGGAGGGCGCTGGCATCAGGAGCAGAGGCAGGGACAGCCGTCTAGGGGCCTGAGCAGAGCTCTGGAATGGCCTCCCACCCGCACAGCAGCCTGGCGGACGGGGCATCTGGGGCATCTGGGACAGCTCTGCCCTCCCAGCGGCGAGAGGGTGAGAGGCCGGGCAATGGGGAGACGGAGCCACCTGGTCCGAATGGAGCATCGGACCGGCTTGCCACAATCTCCTAGGACAGGGTGCCCAACGGAGACTGTAGGAGCTGAGCCAAGATGGAGCAGGAGAGAGACTGCAGAGTCAGGTGGAAGTAGAGGGGACAGTTGACTGAGAACACTCAGCAGAACACCTGTTCTTGAGAATTTTTTAAGGGGGTGGGATATCTAAAGCTCCCATAAGTTATGTTTCTCAGCTTGAAAATTTTTACTTTAAAAGAAATCACATATTGAATAAAATATCAAAACTGCCGAAACTGGTTTGGCTCAGTGGATAGAGCGTCAGCCTGCAGACTGAAAGGTCCTGGGTTCAATTCCGGTCAAGGGCATGTACCTGGATTGTGGGCACATCCCGAGTAGAGGGTGTGCAGGAGGCAGCTCATAGATGATTCTCTCTCATCAATGTTTCTAACTTTCTATCCCTCTTTCTTCCTCTCTAAAAAAATCAATAAAATATATATTTTTTAAAAAGTAACAAAAATAATAGTTTTTAGATTAATCTCTTACAAAGTGAATAACAGAATAACATCTTTACAGATAATGGAAATCTATCAGAAAGGCCCACAAGTAGATTAAGACTAGTTCCTTAAGATCAGGAAGTGACAAATGTTGAAGTTATGGACAGAAATCTAGTATACAGAGACTAGGTTCTGAAGAAAACACTAATTTCAGAAAATTTCTAATTTAACAAGATTTAGAACTTTAAAGTAGACTTGTACCTAAGATGATTGATCCTAAACAGCCAACAGTAAGACAAAAAATACATTTAATAAAAACAGCAAGTGGCAGGTAAGAAAAACCCCCAGATTATATCATTTTCACAATTTTGAAATCAAAAATACTTTTTTTTTTAAAAGCCAGAGATAACAGATAAGTGGAACAACAAATCAATGTTTCTCCCTCCCTCTCAAATCAGAAAATAAAACAAAAACCCAAAGACAGCTTTTGCCTCTGAGCTTCCACCAATGCAGTTTCTCTGGAGCAGTTTTGATATATATTTTTTAAATATGTATATTTTTATTGAAAAGAGGGATAGAGAGAAACATCGATGAGCTGCCTCCTGCACACTCCCTACTGGGGATGTCCCTGCAACCAAGGTACATGCCCTTGACCGGAATTGAACCTGGGACCTTTCAGTCCACAGGCCGTTGCTCTATCCACTGAGCCAAACTGGTTTCGACAGTTTTGATATTTTATGAGCTCCCGGGAACCTCCTGTGCTCGGACTTGCTGAGGGTTAGGTGACTCTGGTGGGAATGGAGAAAAGCCTGTGGGAGGAGATCTCAGACTAGAGGATGCTGGGCCCATCAGTGCTTCCTCCAAAAGCGAGTTTGACACGCTTTCCCCCTTTTTCCACATCGGTGAGCCTCTCCTTTCCATGCATCCTCCACTCCGCATCCCAGGAACTCTGAATCTCTACTCGGTGCATTCACACACTGACATTGAGCACACTGCACCCCGCGCTGTTCTGGGCTTCTGCAAAGAGCAACGAACGAAGCAGATGGAAAGTCCTGCTCTCAGTATCTCCCAAACCAGAGTCCTCCCTCCTGGAGACTCCTCAACCCAACAACCTGAGAGCCAGGTCAGAGTCCTCCCTCCCGGAGACTCCTCAACCCAACAACCTGAGAGCCAGGTCAGAGTCCTCCCTCCTGGAGACTCCTCAACCCTACAACCTGAGAGCCAGGTCAGAGTCCTCCCTCCTGGAGACTCCTCAACCCAACAACCTGAGAGCAGGTCAGAGTCCTCCCTCCTGGAGACTCCTCAACCCTACAACCCGAGAGCAGGTCAGAGTCCTCCCTCCTGGAGACTCCTCAAACCAACAACCAGAGAGCCAGGTCAGAGTCCTCCCTCCTGGAGACTCCTCAACCCTACAACCTGAGAGCCAGGTCAGGGTCCTCCCTCCTGGAGACTCCTCAACCCAACAACCTGAGAGCCAGGTCAGGGTCCTCCATCCTGGAGACTCCTCAACCCAACAACCTGAGAGCCAGGTCAGAGTCCTCCCTCCTGGAGACTCCTCAAACCAACAACCAGAGAGCCAGGTCAGGGTCCTCCCTCCTGGAGACTCCTCAAACCAACAACCTGAGAGCAGGTCAGAGTCCTCCCTCCTGGAGACTCCTCAACCCTACAACCTGAGAGCCAGGTCAGAGTCCTCCCTCCTGGAGACTCCTCAACCCAACAACCTGAGAGCCAGGTCAGAGTCCTCCCTCCTGGAGACTCCTCAACCCTACAACCCGAGAGCAGGTCAGAGTCCTCCCTCCTGGAGACTCCTCAAACCAACCACCCGAGAGCCAGGTCAGAGTCCTCCCTCCTGGAGACTCCTCAACCCTACAACCTGAGAGCCAGGTCAGGGTCCTCCCTCCTGGAGACTCCTCAACCCAACAACCTGAGAGCCAGGTCAGGGTCCTCCATCCTGGAGACTCCTCAACCCAACAACCTGAGAGCCAGGTCAGAGTCCTCCCTCCTGGAGACTCCTCAAACCAACAACCAGAGAGCCAGGTCAGGGTCCTCCCTCCTGGAGACTCCTCAAACCAACAACCTGAGAGCAGGTCAGAGTCCTCCCTCCTGGAGACTCCTCAACCCTACAACCTGAGAGCCAGGTCAGAGTCCTCCCTCCTGGAGACTCCTCAACCCAACAACCTGAGAGCCAGGTCAGAGTCCTCCTTCCTGGAGACTCCTCAACCCAACAACCAGAGAGCCAGGTCAGGGTCCTCCCTCCTGGAGACTCCTCAAACCAACAACCTGAGAGCAGGTCAGAATCCTCCCTCCTGGAGACTCCTCAACCCTACAACCCAAGAGCAAGTCAGAGTCCTCCCTCCCGGAGACTCCTCAACCCTACAACCTGAGAGCCAGGTCAGAGTCCTCCCTCCTGGAGACTCCTCAACCCTACAACCTGAGAGCCAGGTCAGGGTCTTCCCTCCTGGAGACTCCTCAACCCAACAACCTGAGAGCCGGGTCAGGGTCCTCCCTCCTGGAGACTCCTCAACCCAACAACCTGAGAGCTGGGGGGCAGGAGAAAGGAGATCAGAGAGAGAGACAGTTTCTGGACACGAGGGCCCAGAGCAACAGCATCACCTTCTCTCACACAGACAGGCGTTTGCTCCCCATGGGGGAGCAGAGGAGGGTCAGAGGGTCTTTGGATTGTCCAGCCTTAGTTAACCGCCGCGTTCTGAAACTGTCTTTCTTCCCACCCACCACACAAACTTAGCCACTCCTGCCTACGACTGCAGATTGGTTGGACAGGGTTACCCATGACCAACAGCCTCAACTTGCTTTGTTATCAAAAACAATTTAGGCATAAAGAAAGAATAAATGGGGGAGATAAGAGATCAACCGAAGGACTTGTATGCATGCATATAAGCACAAACAATGGAAACAAAACTAGAGAGAGGGAGGGCATGTATGGGAGAGGAGAGCAATGGTAAGAGTTATAGACATATAATACCTTAATAAAAAAAATAAAGAATAAATGAACAAGTGAATGAATTGATGAATGGATGATGAATAAGGGAATAGATGAATGATGTATAATGAATAAATGAATGGATACATAAATAGATAAACAAATAAATAGCATTTTTTTTTGGCTCCTGTTTCCCATTTTGGTCTGTTTCATGTAAATGAGATTTCCATATTGTGTGATTATGATTGGTCCGTATAAATGCAAATGAGAATATAATTTGCATAGCTCTGATAGGACAGGGCCAATGTTGGTCTGTTGGTAGAAAGATGAAGCCAAGAAAAATTCATTAAAAAAATATTTAACATTAAAACTTAAAGAATTAGTAGAAAGAGATCTAGCTGGTTTGGCTCAATGGATAGAGCATGGGCCTGCAGACTGAAGGGTCTCAGATTTGATTCCAGTCAAGGGCATGCCTAGGTTGTGGGCTCAATACCCAGTAGGGGGCATGCAGAAGGCAGATGATCAATGATTCTCATTATCTCTCCCTTCCTCTCTGAAATCAATTATATTTTTTAAAAGAATTTGAAAGAAAACAATAAAAAAGCCCAGAGTAAGTAGAAGGGAATAATGATTAGAGCAGAAATAAATGACAGACAGACACACACACACAGAATACAAAATGTCAATGAAACTAAAAACTGGTTCTTTGAAATGGTAAACAAGATTGATGTACTGTTAGACTCATCAAGAAGCAAAGGGAGAGGACCCAAATACTAAAATCAGAAATGAAAGCAGAGAAGTGATCGCTGACACTACAGAAATACAAAGGATTGAAGAAAATACGTTGAACAACCATCTGCCAACACGCTGGATAATGTGGATAAAATAGACAAATTCCTAGAAAAATACAATCCCCCAAAACTGAATCAGAAAACCTGAATAGGCCAATAACAACTGAGGAAATAGAAGCAGTAATAAATATAGATAAAAAAATTAAAAAAAAAAATCCCAGCAAACAAAAGCCCTGGTCTGGACAGCTTCACAGGGGAGTTTTACAAACATTCAAACAAGAATTGACACCTATCCTCCTCAAATTATTCCAAAAACCCAGTGAGGAAGGAACACTTCCAAGCTCTTTATGAGGCCAGCATTATCCTAATTCCAAAACCAGACAAAGAAACTAAAAAGGAAGAGAATTATATCCCTGATGAAAGATGCTAAAATGATACCCAAAATATTAGAAAATCGGATCCAGTGATATATTAAAAAGATCATACATGCCAAAACTGGTTTGGCTCAGTGGATAGAGCATCAGCCTGCAGACTGAAAGGTCCCAGGTTTGATTCCGGTTGAGGGCATGTACCTTGGTTGTGGGCACATCCCCAGTGGGGGGTGTGCCAGAGGCAGCTAATCGATGTTTCTCTCTCATCGGCGTTTCTGTCTATCCCTCTCTCTTCCTCTCTGTAAAAACTCAATAAAATATATATTAAAAAAAAAAATCAGCCGAAACCAGTTTGGCTCAGTGGTAGAGCATCGGTCTGCGGACTGAAAGGTCCCAGGTTTGATTTCAGTCAAGGGCATGTACATTGGTTGTGGGCACATCAGCGGTAGGGGATGTGCAAGAGGCAGCTGGTCAATGTTTCTCTCTCATAGACGACGTTTCTAGCTCTCTATCTCTCTCCCTTCCTCTCTGTAAAAAATCAATAAAATAAAATAAAATAAATCATACACCATGACCAAGTGGGATTCGTTCTAGGGACGCAAGGCTGGCACAATATTTGTAAATCAATAAATGTGATATATCACATAAGTAAACTGAAAGACAAAAATTATATCAATAGGCGCAGAAAAAGCATTCGACAAAATCCAACAACCATCCTATCTGATAAAAGAGTAATATGGAAATTGACTGAACCTCTGCCAAACTCACAAGCCACGCCCACCAGCCAATCAGGAGCATTCAAATTAACCCAACAAAGATGGCTGTGGCCACTGAGCCAGCAGGAGGCTTGGGTTTCCCTGGCAATGGAGGAAGCCAAGCTTCCTACACATCCTGGCCGGCCCTGGTCTTTGCTCAAGGTTACAAAGTTTCAATTATAGAAAATAAATCCCAGATACCAGGGCCTCCATAGGCATGGGCCTCTACTTTGGTCATGGTGTGTGTGTGTGTGTGTGTGTGTGTGTGTGTGAGCGCGCGCGGTGTGGCCAGCCTGTAAACCACCACAGGCCCCTTGCCCAGGTCGCCCACACCCTAAGGTAGGGGTGTCGAACTCAATCAGAGAAGGGGCCAAAATCTAAAATCCAGCCTAAATCGCGGGCCGAATGGTTTACTGAACAGTCATAAACTGTCATTGTGATGGAAACGCAGCGGAGTGCAGTGATGACAGCGCGGTGCGGGCCACATTGCAAGGCCTGGCGGGACGGATTTGGCCCGCGGGCCTTGTGTTCGACACATGTGCCCTAAGGGAACCCCCATCCCGATCCAGGACACCCTGTACGGCAAACCAGCTGGCCCCCACCTTTGCACCAGGCCTCTATCCTATCTAATTAAAGAGTAATATGCAGATTGACCATCACTCCAACACACAAGATGGCCAGCAGGGGGAGGGCAGTTGTGGGCAATCAGGCCAGCAGGAGAGAGCAGTTAGAGGTGACCAGGTCGGCAAAGGAGGGGAAGTTGGGGCAACCAGCCCTGCAGGGAAGGGCAGTTGGGAGGGGGACCCAGGCCTGCAGGGGAGAGTAGTTAAGGGTGACCAGGTCTTCAGGGGAGGGCAGTTAGGAGCAGTCAGGCTGGCAGGGGAGTAGTTAGGGGGTGATCAGGCTGGCAGGCAGCAGCAGCGGTTAGGGGCAATCAGGAAGGCAGGCAGGCGAGCAGTTGGGGGCCAGCAGTCATGGACTGAAAGAGGGATCCCTTGAGGGGTCCCAGATTGGAGCGGGTGCAGGCTGGGCTGAGGAACACCTCCCCCCCACCCCTATGCATGAATTTCATGCACAAGGCCTCTAGTTTTTTATAAAGACTCTCAGCAGAGTAGGGGCGCCATTGGAGGGGGGATAAAGACACATATATAATACTGATAGACCCTCCCTTCCTCCAACTGGTGGGTGAAGTATGATGTGACCTGCACCTGCCGCCTGGACATTCCTGAGCACCTAACCAGCACCTTATATGGACTGTACACTCACCCACCCATCAGCACCTGCCAAACACCCTAAGCCCTTGATTCCTAAGTCCCTAAGTGCCTAATCCTGTGCCTTATACGAAGCCACCAATCCGTGCCCAGCACCCTAAGCCCCGCCCCTTCCTGTTCCTCCCCTCAAAAGGCAACTTTTACTCCCCAACATATGCCTCAAATTAAAAAAAAAAAAAAAAAAAAAAATAGATGCAGGTCCACAAACCCCTCAAAAGGACCTCGTAAACCTGACCTTTATTTATCTTTTAAAAATATATTTTATTGATTTTTTTACAGAGAGGAAGAGAGAGGGATAGAGAGCTAGAAACATCGACCAGCTGCCTCCTGCACACCTTCTATCGGGATGTGCCCGCAACCAAGGTACATGCCCTTGACCAGAATCGAACCTGGGACCTTTCAGTCCCCAGGCCGACGCTCTATCCACTGAGCCAAACTGGTTTCGGCAGGCCTGACCTTTAAGGTCTTTAATAATAGAGATGAGGAGACCCAAATCCAAAATCAAAAGCAAGATCAGGCCAACGCTGAGGCCCAAGTAGGAGGACTTCCAGCTCCTAGCCACCACTTTCTTTTTAAAAATATTTTTTAATTGATTTTTTACAGAGAGGAAGAGAGAGAGAGCTAAAACATCGACCAGCTGCCTCTTGCACACCCTCTACTGGGGATGTGCCCACAACCAATGTACATGCCCTTGACCGGAATCGAACCTGGGACCTTTCAGTCCGCAGGCCAACGCTCTATCCACTGAGCAAAAACGGTTTGGGCAGAAACTGAGATCTTTCTCTCTAAGAAAAATGGGACAGTTTTAAACCCAAGCAGCTAGAGGCTCTGGAACAGACTGCGGGGCCTGCTCCCTCCTCCCTCTGCCTTTTCTCCATCCTGGTCTTCCCCTGCTCCTTCCCTTCCCGTTCTCTTTTCCCATGGAGAGCACTCACTCTGGCATTCCCTCCCACTCTCACTGCAGTGCCATCCCAATCACTCCTCTGTCATCCCTTATTGATAGCGCCATGGCGACTGCCCTCTCAGCTCAGAGTGCCGAACCAGAAAAAGGAATCTCCTACCCGTTAGCCCACCCCTCTTCTCCTTACACCTGTCAGCTTGCCTCTGCGATCGGGGATTTCTCTTCCTCTGTGGGGAAAACACCTACATCTGCCTCCCCATCCGAGGGACAGGAACCTGTACCCTCATTTCTCTCTCACCCAATGTAGACGCAGCCCCAATGATCAGTCTTTACCTGTTCCCATAACCCAGTGTTTCCCAAACGTTTGACATATGCGTCCCCTTTCTATAATTTTCGTAACGCTGAGTACCCCTCGTCCTCATGAGAACGCAGAATTAGACGCAGCTAAACACGGTGCAGTGCATATCCCCACCAAACTCCGGTGCAACGCGTACCCCCACCAGACTCTCCCCGTACGCCTGGGGGTACGCGTGTCACACTTTGGGAAACACTGACCCATCAGATCTGACACAAAAGGGGAGCCCAGATCATCCCTCTCCTCATAAACCTGGGCATCACAGCAGGGGTTGGAACTTCCATAGGGAGCTTAACCACTGCTCTACCTGCTTTGAAACTCTGTCTCAGGACTTACAAGAAACCTGTGGATGCCCAGCAAGAGCAAAACTGGGAAAACAAGAACCTTATCACCAGGGTAACCTATTCTCCTCTTTTAAATCACTAGTGAGGCCACTGAGACCTCTACTCTTTCCCCCCTAAAAATAACATCTAGCCTAAACCGGTTTGGCTCAGTGGATAGAACGTCAGCCTGTGGACTGAAAGGTCCCAGGTTCGATTCCGGTCAAGGACTTGTACCTTTGTTGCAGGCACATCCCCAGGAGGGGGGTGTGCAGGAGGCAGCTGGTCAATGTTTCTCTCTCATTGATGTTTCTAACTCTATCCCTCTCCCTTCCTCTCTATTAAAAATCAATAAAAATATATATTTTAAAAAATTGTTAAAAAAATAATAATAATAGCCGAAACCGGTTTGGCTCAGTGGATAGAGCATCAGTCTGCGGACTGAAAGGTCCCAGGTTCGATTCCAGTCAAGGGCATGTACTTTGGATGCGGGCACATCCCCGGTAGGGGATGTGCAAGAGGCAGCTGATCGCTGTCTCTTTCTCTCATCGGTGTTTCTAGCTCTCTATCCCTCTCCCTTCCTCTCTGTAAAAAATCAATAAAATTTAAAAATAATAATAATAACAACAACATCTAGGTCTCAGTTGTCTTTCAGCTCCAGGCCCAGAAAAGCAGCAAAACCAGACAAGGGACGCTGTGGCAGCCTCAGGACCAGCTTTTTCCTCCCAAAGAACTCAACAGGATCGCTCTCCAGACTCACCAGCCAGTCTCTTGGGGAAATCGTGCTGCTGCACCCCTCGTCCAGCACGGAAAACACTACCTGTTTAACAAATACCTCTCACACCTCCACCTCACCTACAACTGCACCTACTGCTGTGCACCATCTATGAATGTACCCCCTCCCTTAGCTGCCCCCCACCGGGCATTTTTCTCCTCTGGGACTACAGCCCACACCTCCGTCCCCCAGGACCTGCCCCACGCACTCTGTCTTTGTCTTCCTAACCCCCCATCTTCCTTTCAGAACAGAGGGAGAATGTGAATCTTCTCCTGGGCTTCTCAGGCCCCGCCACAAGAGGGCGCCCTTGTTCCCCCGTGACCAGATTTTAACATTGGTAAAGCTGGACACCCTTTGATGAGGGGTGGGGGGTGGGAGGGGAGGGGTGTCTTGATTAGAAATTTGGTCTATATGGAGTAACAAAAAATTTTCATAGAACGCAAACATAGTATTGTAATATATATATATATATATATATATATATATATATATATATATATGTATATAAACTTCAACATAAGTACAATTTACAAATACAATAAATTTTAAAAAATTATGTGTAGTATTATGTTATTCGTTGGCATATTTCCCATTTGAGTGAATTCTAACAACTGGTCAACAATGCGAACTTTGGTAAGCAGTTCCCGATGATCAGTTCTCAACCGTTATTTGTTATGATTAAGGTTTAACATGATAAAATGAACAGAAATAACATAAAACTCATATCCTGGCTAAATAGCCACACGGCCGCCGAAAACCGTATATATATTCCCTTCCTGTTCTCCCGCCATTCCCTAGCTTGTCGTGCATTCTTTCCAAAAATCGGGACTTTTTAAAAATGCTGTGGGACGTGGGAAAATTTGTTGAAAAGTGGGACGTCTGGTCACCTTATCTTAGTGGGCACGGAGCCCTCCCTGCAGTGGGGACAGGAGTGGGAGGCATTCCCTCCTCTGATCATTTCTACCACAACTGTCTGCTGCATGTTCAGAAGATTTCCCCATCATGAGCAATTCCCTTCAGAGGCAGGCATGCTCCCTAGCAGCGGTGTCCCCTACAGAACCGGTGTGCTTTAGATCTGACAGCAACCTGTGTCTTTCTTGGGGAGGAATGCTGCTACTTTGTAAATGAATCCGGAATTATCAAAGATCACAATAAATCCCTCCGGGGCAGGACTAACCAAAGAGGACGTAACCAGCTAGAAGGGGAGTATGCCATCTCTGGCTCACTTACTCCGTGGCTCCTCCCACTATGAGGCCCACTGGTATTTATTCATATATATATATATATATATATATATATATATATTGATTTTTTACAGAGAGGAAGAGAGATGGATAGAGAGCCAGAAACATCGACAATAGAGAAACATCCATCAGCTGTCTCCTGCACACCCCACTGGGGATGTGCCCGCAACCAAGGTACATGCCCTTGACCGGAATCGAACCTGGGACTCTTCAGTTCTCAGACCGATGCTCTATCCACCCACCCAAACCGGTTTCAGCTGGTATTTATTCTTTTAATTTTGCTCTTTGGCCCCTGTCTCATGCTCTATTTCAATAGTATTTTTTGCAGAACAGAATGCAGGCGTTCACCAACCAAAAGGTGGGAGAGATCTACCTGGCCTTGAATTCAGAACCTAGAGACGCTTATGTCACCAGAACCCTCGAGACCCTGGGCAGATGCCCCGGACGATGCCCCCTCTTAGCAGGAAGTAGCTACGCCCCCCTGACCTTGCCCGGACTCTCAATATTTTACCATTACCAAAAGCCTGGAATGATAGATCCTTCCCCCTCCAACTGGTGGGCAGAGTATGACATAACCTGCACCAGCAGCCTGGACATACCTGAGCACCTAACCAGGACCTTATATGGACCATATAGTAAGCCACCAATCAGCGCGTGCCGAGTACCCTAAGCCCCATTCCTTCCCATCCTCCCCTCAAAAGGCGTTTTCACTTCTGCACTCGAGTCAGCCCAGCAGGTCCTTCTCCTCTGATAAAGCCTGTATTCCTGCTTTTCGGCCTCTGTCTCATCTTTCAAATATATGCACCCTATGTTCACAGCAGCACAATTCACCATAGCTAAGATTTGGAACCAGCCTAAGTGCCCATCAGCAGATGAGTGGATCAGAAAACCATGGTACGTCCATACAATGGAATACTACACTGCACTAGAAAAGAAGGAATTCCTATCATTTGCAGCAGCATGGATGGACCGGGAGAGCAGTATGCTAAGTGAAATAAGCCAGTCAGTGAAACATAAATATCACATCATCTCTCTCATTTATGGGTAATGAAGAACATTATAACCTGATGAACAAAGATGGATACAGAGGCAGAGAAGCAGCCAACAGACTGTCACATGACAGCGGGAAGGCTGGGGAGGGTTGCGGGGAGATAAGAGATCAACCAAAGGACTTGTGTGCATGCAGACAAGAACCACCAACGGATGCAAGACACTGGGGGGTAGGGAAGACCCGGGGAAGGTGAATGGGGAAAGAAAGGAGACATATGGCCGAAACCGGTTTGGCTCAGTGGATAGAGCGTCGGTCTGCGGACTGGAAGGTCCCAGGTTCGATTCCCGGTCAAGGGCATGTACCTTGGTTGCGGGCACATCCCCAGAAGGGGGTGTGCAGGAGGCAGCTGGCCAATGTTTCTCTCTCATCGACGTTTCTAGCTCTCTATCTCTCTCCCTTCCTCTCTGTTAAAAATCAATAAAATATATTTAAAAAAAAAAAAAAAAAGCCTGCAGGGAAGCTCAGGGAGATTAACAGGCACCAATGACCCCTCACCCAGGCGGAGACTCGGGTTTGCACCTGCTCCTGACAAGGAGCCGGAACTCATGCGGAAGAGGGGCCACACCTGCCCCTCCGCAGGGGCCCAGGCTGGGCGGGGCCACCTTCTCCCCCAGCTCCTTCTCAGGCACAACCTGAGCCTGTGGGGCCCAGAGGCCTTTTGGGGGGGGGGGGGCACTGCGCCCCCTAGTGTCTGGCTTTGTCAGAGCCTCTCATTTCCCCCCCCCCCGTCAATGTTCTAACAGATTTTATTGCGTTTTTTGTTTGTTTGTTTTTTTTTGCTGCGGCAATAACTATTTTTTTAAAATTTCTTTATTAAGGTATTACATATTTGTCCTCATCCCCGCTGGCCATTCTTTTTTTATTTTTTTAAAAATATAATTTAAACATATAATACTTTATAAAAAAATAGTTACTGATGTTTTCAATGTATACATATAATACCTTAATAAAAAAAAATGGAAAAAAAATACTGATGTTTTCAATGTACACTCCTAGGAATATATCCCAAGAAACCAGAAACACCAATCAGAAAGGACATATAAAGCCCTATGTTCACAGAAGCACAATTCACCATAGCTGAGATTTGGAAACAGCCTAAGTGCCCATCAGCAGATGAGTGGATCAGAAAACTGAGGTACATCTACACTAGGGGTGTCGAACTCAATCAGAGAAGGGGCCAAAATCTAAAATCCAGCCTAAATCGCGGGCCGAATGGTTTACTGAACAGTCATAAACCGTCATTGTGATGGAAACGCAGCGGAGTGCAGTGATGACAGCGCGGTGCGGGCCACATTGCAAGGCCTGGCGGGACGGATTTGGCCCGCGGGCCTTGTGTTTGACACATGTGATCTACACAATGGAATAGTACACTGTAATGAAAAAGAAGGTATTCCTACCATTTGCAGCAGCATGGATGGAGCTGGGGAGCATGATGCTGAGTGAAATAAGCCAGTCAGAGAAAGATAAATTATCACATGATCTCACTCATTGATGGAAAATAAAGAACATTATAACCCGATGAACAAAGATAGACACAGAGGCAGTAAAGCATGGAATAGACTCTCAAATTATACCGGGAAAGCTGAGGAGGGCAGGGGGAAAAGCGATCAGCCTCAGGACTTGTATGCATGCTGGGAAAGCAGATCCCAGATGGCGGCCCGCAGGAGGCTGATGAAGGAGCTTGAAGAAATCCCAAATATGGAATAAAAACCTTCCTAACATCCAGGCTGATGAGGCTGCTTTACTGACTTGGCAAAGGCTTCCTGTTCCTGACAACCCTCCACACCGTAAGGGGCCTTCAGACT